CTGTGCAAGCTCAGCTGAGGAATGTGCAGCAGATCCAAGCCACTAACTTTGCTTTTGCTGCCATTCTCGGCGATAAATCCGTGACAACCTGGGGCAGTGCCGGCTTCGGCGGCGACAGTAGTGCTGTGCAGGATCAGCTGAAGAATGTGCAGCAGATCCGAGCCTCTCACCGCGCTTTTGCTGCCATTCTCGAAAATGGATCTGTCGTGACGTGGGGCGATGCTGCGTACGGTGGTGACAGTGGTGCTGTGCAAGCTCAGCTGAGGGATGTGCAACAAATCGAAGCTGCAAACCTTGCTTTTGCTGCCATTCTTGGCGACGGATCCGTGATAACCTGGGGTGATCCGGGCTTTGGTGGCGACAGTAGTAAGGTGCGGGATCAGCTGAAGAATGTGCAGCAGATTCGAGCCTGCGACCTCGCTTTTGCTGCCGTTCTCGGCAGTGGATCTATCGTGACCTGGGGCAGTGCTTCTTACGGTGGTGACAGTAGCACCATTCAGCATCAGCTTCACAGTGCGTAACTGTGTTGCTTCCGCTGGTTGGTCTTGGCTGCTTTGAACAGCGATGGCGGTTCCCGCCAGCACAAGCAGTGATGCATCCCAGATTTGCCCAAACATTTGCAGAGCCCCGTGGCCGAGGTGCTGATGCAGGACTGGCAGCACTTGTTCGGGTGCAGGGTCCCACATCTTCTTTATGAAATGTCGAGTCTTATCTGGGACACTGTCAATCTCGAGCTTGGTCGGAGGGCGAGCCCCTCCGTGTCAGACAGATGCGTGTCGGATTCGCGAGGAACGTGGCGGAGGAGTTGAGTCTGGTTTTTTAAGACCTGTTCCTTAAAATAAGGAACCATTCCGAAAACCGAAGCTCATCGTGTGTCTCCCTGGCTGTATACCTCGAAGCCCAGCAGTGCTTAATCTGTGCCGGTAGCCCCTAAACCCCAAAACGACCACGATCTGAAGTTCAAGGCCAGGGTCTTAGGGCCAGAGAACTTTTATAGCACTTGGGTCGAAAAGGCCGTCTAAGTCAGTAATTGTAGTCCTGCACAGTAGTGTTGCCTTATATTATAACATACCTATAGCATACTGGAACATGCACCCAAACCTTGTTCTGGTTCTTCATGCCTTGACCCTGGCACGAAGGCTTGGTTGCCGACAGTACGGAACATCCCAATATGGACCCTTACGTAGCTAAGGAGTTTAGGCTGCAATGGGTTTAGAGTTTACCCTAATGCTCCTGGACCCTCGTAGTCAGATCCCAAACCTTAGCCCCCAAAACCCGAACCCCTCGCCCAGAAAGCCCATGATCCCTTTAGGAGCCTTAGGGTAGAGTTTAGGCGGAACCTCAATATCAACCCTAAATAGCATAGCGGCCCAAGTATGCAGCCTCCATGTAGCTTTACAGTAGATACTTAGGCCTTAAAGTGGTATATACTATATGCGTACCATGGAGCTTTATGACTAGGATAGGATGTAAATCAACAGAGCTCAGCATTCGTTGGACGGACATCAAAGCCCTACTTGACTTGAAGGTGCATGGGAGCTACTGGTTCGAGTGTTAGTCCCAGTTAAAATACTTGCAACTGTACTGACTAAGTCCCATGAGTCTTTGGGTAGCCGCTGAACCTAAAACGCTAAACGGACCCTTAACGGAAACCCTTCAGGGGAACCCAGTTATCGAATCCTGCAGTACCCTTAACAGGAACACCGAAAGTCTCACTAAACTCTAACTCTCACACCCCCGACATTAAATTAAAGGCGTCCAGACACCTTTCCGAAAGTTATCACCCCCATACCAAAGACCGTCAACCTTTCCAGTTTAGTATCAACCCTTGTAATAACACTTAGTACCCTAACCCTGAACCCTATAACCCTAATCTCTAGCCATAAAGCCCCCTAAGCCTCCATGTACCTTTATAGCAGATACTCAGGCCTTAAAGTGGTCCCGATATGGGTACTTTGCAGTAAGGCCCAAGTATATACTATACGGGCACCATGGAGCTTTATACTCTAAACCCTATGGAACCCTTCAAAGGAACCCTTTACAGGAACCCTATATGGGTACATGGGGCCTCACACCCTAAACCCTGTAGAACGCTTATAGAGCCCTTTAAAGGAACCCTTAAAGGAACCCTATATGGGTACCATGTGGCCTTAGGGTTCTGACCTCGAGATGCCCAGGCCCCCTGTCGCGGCGACCCAGTCTTTCAAGGCTGGCACAGCGGCTCCTTCAGTGCTTAGGGTTTATGATGTATAAAGGTTCCTTGAAGGGTTCTAGAAGGGATCTATAGGGTTCAAGGTTTGGGGGTTTCGGCTTCTACGGTTTCCGATTTCAGGGTTTTGGTTCACAGTCTTTGTTGGTTACGGTTTTGCAAGGATGTTTTGAGGGATTAACAGGACAATGGATGTCTTTTGAAACCCCTTGTTTCTGCTAGTTTGGCTTGTTTACATGAGCATAACCATCGTTCTCAGGATAATTACAGTGCGCGCAGGGCTATACCATCATACAGAATTCGGCCTAAACAATTGTTCAGTTTCGGTAGTTGATTATTGCATTGGTGAAGCTTGCTAAAGCACGTACCAAGCTACATAAACACCCTTAAAGGCGCTCCTTCGTGGAGCCGTTTTAGGGTACTTGGAACCTTCGAGAACGAGAACTTTCGGCCCTGGATTCAAAGGAATCTCCTGGTGTTGCATAGGGTTTAGGGTGTAAGGCCTCATGTACCCATACAGGGTTCCTGTAAAGGGGTTCCTTTGAAGGGTTCCATAGGGCTTAGGGTATAAAGCTCCATCCTGAGCTCATAGGAGCGTTGATATTTTTGTTTTCGGTTTAGTTTGTTGAGGGGTTTAGGGCTTTAATCAAGAATGTTCGTCCTTGCTGTTTTTTTGGTCTGCTGGAGTTGCTATCGGTTAAGGTTTAGGCTGTATGCGCGGCAATCGCGTTTGGGATGGATGTTTTGGTGCCCCTTACTTCAGTATCTGTTGCAACATGCCTGGGCAAGCAACCGGTCTGTCCAAACTATGAGCTGGAGATTTGCTGTTGGTTAGGTGCGTGGCTTCGACTTACTTTTCATGACATGTCTGAAACATCCCATGAGCAGACTTTTAGCTGTAAGCCATCCAAGACCTTGTAGCTCGAAGCCCAACACCCGATCCTCTGCCTATACACCTTGAGCTCCCAAAACTCTTCAGCTAGAACCCGAAAAGCCCTGAACCTGAAGTTTACGGTTTAGGGTCCAGGGTTTGCGGATTAGGGTTAAACCCCGAGAGGAAAGCTCTGTCCCCGGGAGCTGCGTTGGCTCAAAGGGTGGCATTTTGACTCTGCTGTTTGCCACAGACGGCTTATTTTGTCGATGTGGGTTCCGGGTTTTGTTTCTGCATTACATGTCAAACGTTGTAGGACTGTCCAAGGTTCGGTATGTTGGGTGTGTGGTCGCCCACGCCTCGTGCTGCTCGATGGGTATCGGGTGTATCCCACATACTCCATGCCAATGCCTAGGCTCCACTATGGCTATAACTGTTTTGCTGCCCAAGCTTCCAACATCAAAGCCTCACACCCTCGTTCACCAGCTTTTGCGAGTCAGCCCTAAACCCTGAGGCCATACTTGCGCCCTAAGCCCAAACCTCCCCATCTAAGCATTAGTTGACCCTCTAACCCCTAAACCCGAATCGCTACACCCTAGACATTTCTAGGCCATATCAGCCCTACCCATAGTATCCATTGTAACGTGTTGTGTTCACCCTTTCTATAGTTAAGACCGAAAAGTACATAACTGGCTAACCAAACACGCAGCTACAGCGGAGACTGTAGGTCAACCCTATAAACTCTAAGCTCGAAGCTTTATAAGAAGAGCTGGTTTGATGTGAGTAGCTCTAAACCCCAAACCCTTTCTAGAACCCTTGTAGCTCCCTTTAAGGAACCTTTTAAGGATGCCTTTTGATAATAAGGACCCAAAAAAGGGGACCCTAATTTTGACAACCACCCATGTGCTTCTTCGACCCACTGGGCTGTCGACTCGGTCGGAAGCTCGGAAATGTCTGGCAGCTGCGGCCGAGAGTTTGAGGGATTACTTTAAGACTTACGAATAGAAATCCTTTTCGTTACATGTACGTATGTGAATGTGTATGTGTGTATATACAGGTATATATACATATATAGATGTGAATATCTATACATACTGGTGTTGCTTCTGCGAACTCATTTCCTGAGTAGGTGTAGTATCAGTATGCTTCTACAGGCAGCTAACCCCCTGCTGGCATCGGCACCTTCGCCCTGTGCACCGTGCACAAGTCTCATCCCCTGCAAGGGCGTTGATGGGTTTAGAGTAAGGATTTGAGAACTTTGAGAACCTTTCTGCAGGGTTTAGGGTTTAAGGTTTGGCTTTGGGGTTAAGGGAAAGGGGTCCCTTAGCCACGTCAGGTCTCGCAAAGCCTCATGCAGGTAATCTTGAAGCTATCTTGCCGGTTCAGAAAACGCAGCGGTCTGCACTAGCTCCAGCTGTTAGCCCTAAGCTCTTAAATAGGGACCTAGATCCCCAATGCCTACCCTTCAAACTTTTTTGCGGTCTTATAGTTTAGTAGGAATCGGAAAGTTTGACTTTCATTTCTGTGGCTTATTGGGGTAGTAAGGTAAGCCCTAATCTATCGGACGCTCGCACACCTAGCTCTTCTGGCCGGCATAGCTGACTCAAGCAAATCCACTGACGTGGAGAAGCTTCCAGTAGGAGTCACCAGCACTGCATGCCGACTCACAAAACACGCAGCATGACGCTCAGCAGCGTGTAAGAGAGGGTCCACACATCCAAGTATCAGCCAGATGCAGAACTCTGAAATGAGAGCAATGTCCTGCAAGACTGCAGAGATCTCGTAGAAGCCTAGTCTCCACCACACCTGTTGTCCCTTTGCGCAACTCCAGAATCGCCTACTCTTGTGACAACCAGCAGCTCGAAGCTTAGCACGGCAGCTATGTGGGCAACGCCCCACCAGCACCAAAGGGACGACAAGGTCTCACGTGTCTCCTTTCCCGGTTCTGCGAACCCTGTGGCACCAATGGTGGACATCGGGGCTGGTGGTACCGGCGACGCCTCCCAGCAGGCCAGAGTTCCTCGGGTCTGAAGGGATTAGGCCCACTCTTCTGAGTTTCATGGCTGAGATTTCAGGAACTTAAGTAGTCTCTTCGAACATTGGCCATGACCCCTCGAGAGTCGTCGTTAAATTGCCGTGTTACGGAATCCTTTTGAACTGCAGGAGACACCTCGTGTTCTTATTGCTCAAACCGTAATGTCTAAGAACCTCGCACCGTGTAGGAGGCGGCGTCTTCCGCGGCCGCAGCTCCGTCCTGCGCCGATGGAGACCTGCGACCGGGACACCTGGTCCGGGCCCCAGCTCATGGGGTTTCCCAAAGGCTCCATGTACTTTTATAGTAGATACTTAGTCCTTAAAGGGGGTCCTTATATAGGTACTTTAAGGCCGAAGTATATACTAAATGTGTACACGGAGCCTTGGGGTTTGGTTTATGCTGGCAACCTCAAGTCTGATCCCCCATCCTATGTTCGGGGCTTCGGCGAAGCTGATGTAAGAGAGATACGGCTGATGGACAAAATCCTGCATTAGCCATTATAAGGAATATACCAAAGTTCCCATAAATAGTTTAGAGTCCTTAGGGTCATGCAGGATTTTGTCCATCAGCAGTATAAAGCAGATGCCCTGCTATCATCGCACTTAGCCTGTCATCACTACCACCATCCTTTCCTCTGCTGATACCCTTATGCGTGCGGGCATACTCATTCACGTCCTCACCAGCGAGGTTAGAACCAGCAGGACCAGTAGTGTACTTGTCACCAGCATGACTAGCATACTTGCGCACCTGAAACCTGAAACCCTCTGCCCACAGGGATGATTCACGTGGATTTGGGTTTAGGGTACAGATACAAAATATTGTGGCAGACGACAAAATGTACACGTTGACCCGAATGATTATCCAGGAGCCTCTTTACGTCCCAGGGCCATGTTTTTTACCCTAAGGGTCCAAGTGCCCAAATTTCAGGGTCCAAAGATTTTGGGACCTCAATCCCTACTATGTGGGTACTTAGACCCTCTGGGTTGGGTGGGTTACCTTATCTGACTATATTTACTCCTGGGGATTGAGCCCCGCCCCCAATTTCAGAGCATGCAGCTGGAAGCCGAGACAACGGCAGCCTGCAGCCGAGTAAGAATCATCTCCACATCCTCCACCCGGTGTATCGGGCCTAAACACCTAGTCTGAACCTCTCGACGTCAAATCTGGCATGTTAGAATCTTCCGATTCCTCTGATGTAAGTGACTAGAAAGATAAGTCAAAGAAGCGTTCCCTCAAACTGGCAGCATTGCGCTCAGGTCGAAGTCAACGGTCAGCAGCTGAGAGCTCTGAATCCAACAGTCCAGCTTCCTAGATCTATAGCCATCTGGGGTTTACAAGCCCTAAACTTACCTTTGGTTAGTAGGGCATGGAGGCATGGGGTGCAATTATAACTACAATTACTATCATTCTTCCATTCCCTACTAACCAGAGGTAAGTAAACCCAGACTTCAAACCCTGAACCCACCTACCCCCTTACAATGCAGCATCTTCTCTTAGAGCTCTTCGAAAGCTTTTGAGCTACTTTCAGCCTCCCGGCTTATTCCTTTGGGGCTCCAGATACATAGCCCAAAGTGGGTTGTATTTCCTTAAGGTTCCAAAGGACCCGATAATAAGGTACTTGGGCTTAGGAGTTTTGGATAGTAGTTATGCAAGTTCATGTTTGGGAGAGTATATGATGATTAGGCACTTGGACCCTCAGGGTTTGTATACTTGCTGACCTTGGGTTGGAGCGGACGTACGCAGAGATGGCCAAGGACGAGCAGTATGAACGACACTAACACTTGTGGGCACCAAGACTCTTCCCCCAACCCCCCCCCCCCCCATCCCGCAATCACTAGCCGAACTGAAAGCAACACCCTCATCATGACTGCCACCTCCATCGTTATTTCCCTCCAGCACTGAGCATACCGGCCTGCCTGAGTTTAAGGCCGCTCAGGCACTTCGAAAGAAGCTCGTGAACTGCCAAGTGCTTGCAGAGTTCTTGGGTTTAGGGTTTAAGGTTCAGGGCTTAGGGTTCAGGGTTTAGGGTTCAGGGTTTAGGGTTCAGGGTTGAGGGGTTTAGGGTTTAGGGTGCAGGGTTTAGGTACCAGCTCCACTGATTTCCTGCATGCGGACAAGCCCCTATAACGAACCTAGGCACATAGACATAAGCCCTGAAGCCTAAACCCTTCAACCCTAAAGCCTAAACCCTTAAACCCTGAAGCCTCTTCTTCAGCCTTTCGAGGCCCTAAACCCTTAAACCCTGAAACCTTCAACCCTAAACCCTGAAACCTGAAACCCTGAACCCTAAGCCCTGAACCTTCAACCCTAAACCCTGAAACCTTCAACCCTAAACCCTGAAACCTGAAACCCTGAAGCCTCTTCTTCAGCTAGGATGCCCAGTAGTACCCTTATTCCCTTTTTGTAGCCCTAGGTTCCTTATAAAGTTACCCAAGACCAAAAAGAGAGGCCTTTTTATTCTTAGGTTACTGGGTATCTTCTTCCGCCTTTCGAGTAGACCCTAAACCCTAAACCCTATAGATCCCTTTAAGGAACCGTATAGGTCCCTTTAAAGGAGCCCTATAGATCCCTTTAAGGAACCCTTTCGAGGCCTGGCGTCCGAGAGCGGGAAGTTGCTGAATGGCCAGCGAGGCCTTCTCTGCGACTTCCTCGAGGCCCGGGCTAAGGGTCTCTGGGGGTTTAGGATTTATAGGGTTTAGGATTTATAGGGTTTAGGATTTATAGGGTTTAGGGCTTAATTATAGGGTTTATAGGGTTTATAGGGTTTATAGGGTTTATAGGGTTTATAGGGTTTAGGGTTTAGGGTCTTTGGGGATCTTCCTTGGCTCTGGGGCTCTCAGGGTATAGGCTTTAGGCTTCCTTTAAAGGGATCCATAAGGGTTTTACAAGGGCTCTAAGGGTTCATAAGATCTATGAGGCTGCCGGGGCTAAGCGTCTCTGGGGGTTTAGGATTTATAGGGTTCCTTTAAGGGGATCTTCCTAGGGCTCGTTTAAGAGGATCCATTACTTGGAGGGTCGGTGGACTTAGTAATTGGTTATTTTGGAGACTTATAAGTACCATAACCCCAATTAAGGTCCTTTTTAGTGTACTTATAAGTCTACTTACTACCTACTTACTAAGTCCCCCGACCCTCCAAGTATGGGGTTCATAATGTCAGGCTTCCTTTAAATAGGCCCATGAGGCTGCCGGCTAAGGGGCTTTGGGGTTTTGGATTTAGGGGTTTAGGGTGTAGGGGTTTAGGGGTTTAGGGTTTAGGGGTCTAGAGTTTAGGGGTTTAGAGTGTAGGGGTTTACGGTTTAGGCTTTAGGTGGTTTTGCGACTTCCTCGAGGTGGCTGCCGGGCTATGGGGCTTCGGGGCTCAAAGGGTTCATAATATGAGAGTTTCCGAAAATAGGGGACCCTAATATAATACCCTAAATAGTAGGATCCTTATTATAAGGACCACGAAATAAGGTACCCCCCTTAATTTTCGGAAACTCCCATAAAAGGCTTCCGGTTCTATAACTATGTAGGGTTTTGGGGCTCAACTTTAAGGGGTCCTTGATGATATATGGATGTAGCGCTTTGGGGGTGAGGGTCTAGGCATGCAGTGCAGGATTTATGGTTGGGGATTGGGTTTTTTTGGGTTTAGGCTTTGGGTTCGGGAAGGCCCATCGTATATGGTAGATTTAGATGCGTACATGACCCTTGGAGTTTATCGTGCAAGTCCAGGTTCAGGCTTTGCGGTTAGGATTCGGGCCGCATGGCTTCTAAGTTTCGTCCCTTCAACCCTCAACAACGAGAAAGGAAACTATAAGTCAGTGTGTGTATATACATATACACACAAGCATATGTATATGTACATATATATATATATATTCTGCACACATACAAGTAGGTGTGTATATATATATATACACATATAGAATAGAGAGAGAGAGAGAGAGAGAGAGAGAGAGAGAGAGAGAGAGAGAGAGAGGGAGAGAGACAGCAGAAAAAGAGAGAGGGAGAGTCTGGGTTTAAGGAAGGACATCGGGAGGGAGGCCAGTGCTCAAAACCCGAAAGCCCACCTACCAGCTGGCCCAACATCCAACAAAGTGAAGTTCCAGAGGAAGCTGGGTGCAGCATGTGCCTGTAAAAGAAGGATTTGAGACCTTCTGAAAGCTTTCCCATGGCTCACAAAATCTAAAAACTCTGCCAAACCAACCAGCGCAATGAACCTCCCAACATCCCAAAACCTCCCTATACGGAGTCTCACATCCCACACCCGAAACCTCAAGTCAGAAGTAATTAAACCTTAAACCCCTGAACCCTAGACCCTAAACCCCTAAACCCTATAAACCCCTAAACCCCTAAACCCGTAATCAGAACTCCACCTGTCACGGGTGCCGATGAGCATTTGCGAGGCGACTGGCAGATGGCAGGTTCGCATCGGCGGGAGCCTGAGCAAACTGAGGGTTGAAAAGGCTTGCCTGAACTCTATTTAGGGTTTAGGGGTTTAGGGTTCAGGGGTATAGGGTTTAGGGTTTAGGGTATACAACATGCCTTTTTCCAGCTTCTGTGTAAGGTTTCCGATTTGTTTTCAGAAGCTTCGTTAAAGTTTGCAGCTGAAGCGTTTAACAGGTCTCTGATTGGATGTCCTCTTGGGGCTTAAGATCTCAACCCACATCCTGATATGTGTCGGGACATACTGGTAGGTAAACTTATTCGCTAGCAAGCTCTGAGCAAAAGCTTGGCTACATCTCCGAACCAAAGCTGGCACGACGACGACACCATTGCTGCGACTGCCGCTTACGACTACGACCACGACTACTACTACTACTACTACTACTACTACTACTACTACTACGACTACTACTACTACTACTACTACTACTACTGCTACTACTACTACTGCTACTACTACTGCTACTACTACTACTACTACTACTACTACTGACACTATGTTGTAGGGTTTGGAGCTGCGGGTAGAAACCCTCAGAACCCTGAGCCCCAAGACTTTGCATGAAAACCCAAGCCCAGCACCTGGAACCCAAAACCCCAAACCGAAAGATCCGTAAACCCTGAACCCCAAAAGGCAACTCGAAAACCCTGGACTTTACCCAACATCCGAAACCCCGAACCCTAAACACCCTAAGCCCTGCAAACCCTAAGAAACCCTAACCCTAAACCCCAACCCTTAAACCCTAAACCCCAAACGCCAACCCCTAAACCCTACACCCCGAACATCCTAAGAAACCCTAAGCCCCAACCCCTAAACCCTAAAGCCCGAACATCTTAAGAAACCCTAAAACCGAAGCACCCTAAGCCCTAAACCCTAAACCCTGAACATCTTAAGAAACCCTAAACCCTAGAAGCTGCCCCCACCCTGTAATAGTGACCATAAGGATTATATAGGATTATATTAGGGCCGTATTATACTCCTATTATACCACTATTACAGGGTGGGGGCAGCTCCTAACCTAAACCCGAAGCAGGCTAAGCTTTGAACATCCAAAGAAACCCCGGGTTTTCTTGCAGGAGAGAAGCCCATGAGCTTGAAGCAACCCTATAAGCTCCCATTACAGGAACCCTAGGTATCCCCTTAAAGGGAAACCCAAGGAGTCTCTGGGTTTCTGGCAGGAGAGAAGCTCGTGAGCTTGAAGCCTGTGAACTTGAGCAAGGCATTTCGGGCAGGATTTTTTTGAGGGGGGGGGGGGTGTGGGGGTTTTAGTGGGGGTTTGGGTTTAGTAAGGGTTTAGGGGTTAGTACTTGGAGGGTCGGGGGACTTAGTAACTGGTTATTTTAGGGACTTATAAGTACCATAACCCCAATTAGGGTACCTTTTAAGGTACTTATAAGTCTACTTACTACCTACTTACTAAGTCCCCCGACCCTCCAAGTAGGGGTTTAGGGTTCAGTAGGCGTTTAGGGTTTGTGGTTGTTTAGGGTTTCTGTTTGGAGTTTTCGGCTTCAGAGTTGCTGCAGTTTGGGGGTTTAGTAGGGGTTGGTCGCCCTAGTAGGACTGTGAGGACCGATATTACTACCATTATGATTAGTATTATTGTGATTATCCTCATTGTTATTGCAGTCATTATCGGTAATATTGATACCGCTAGCGTTGTCGGGTTTGGGGCTTTGGGCTCAGTAGAGCTTTAGGCTTTTGGGTTTGAGGTTTAGGAGTTATCTAGATTGGGGTTGAAGATTTGGGGCTAAGGTATCGGGGCTGTAGAGTTCAGAGCTTAAGGGCATAAAGTGTCGTGGTTTAGGGTTTAGGGTTTAGGGTTTAGGGTTTAGGGTTTAGGGTTTAGGGTTTAGGGTTTAGGGTTAAAGTGTCGTTTAGAGGCTTCGGCTTCAGGGCTTTGGGCTTAAGGCTTGAGGGGTCCGATCTGGGGTGTGAGGTCAGTATCGGGGGCACACGAGGGCCAGCTTCGTTGCCCTTGACTGGAACTCTAGTTTCCGAACACGTCCCGAGTAACTACGTTAATCCCTGCAAGGTTTCAGAGCATTTCCTGAATCAGAATCCCTTGAAACCCGCACACCTGAAGCAGAAAGGTCTACGAATAACGATGGAAAGCATGGAAGACGTAGGATTAAGGGGTTTGTGGGTTCAGGGGTTGAGTGTACAGGGTATAGTACGTAGCACCCTTCACGTGCATCCTAAGTGCTTCTCGGCAGGATCCAGTTCTTCGGGGCAGACCTAAAACAGGGTTTAGGGTTTAGGGTTTAGGGTTTAGGGTTTAGGGTTTGGGGTTTAGGGTTTAGGGTTTGGGGTTTGAGGTTTAGGGTTTAGGGTTTAGGGTTTAGTACTATAGCAGCGACATGCGTTGACAGGACTCGACGGGTTTCCACCCACACTGTATGCATGAACTGAGGGGCTGAAGGCTGCAAAGAGACACCCTTCCACCGCTACAGGAGAGAGAAACCTTCAAAGTCGTCCTGGACACCCTAAACCTCTAAATACCGATGCCCAAAACCCTAAACCCTAAACCCTAAACCCTCATGGAACTTAAAGCTTAAACGAACGCAGCACAAGCCAACTACGCCTTTGCTGGGGCTCCTGAAGCATAAAACCCCTAAACCCTAAATGCTCAACCCTGAACCCCTAACCCGGGCATCAAAATAGCCCAAAAGCCTTATATGGTATGATCTTTGGGCCCAAAAGCCTTAGTATATGAGTCCTTCGATGCCTAGGGCAATTATAAACCCCCAAAACCTCCCCTAACCCTACAACCTTCAACCTTAAGCCCCTAAGCCCTAAACCTTCAAACTTTTTTGCAAACCTCTAAACCCTAAACCCCTAAACCTTTAGGCCCCCTAACCCTAAGCCCTTGAACCTGAAACCCGTAATCCCTAAACCCCCCGAACCCCTACCCTAAGGCTCCATAGTAGTTCCTTTTTAGGGTTCATATTTAGAATCCTATAAGGTATCCCCCAAAAGGAACTACTTTGGAGCCTCTGGGTAGGCCCTAATCTGGGCTCTTGTTAAGGAACTTAATTTAAGTTACCATAATAGGGATCTATAGTAAACAATAGGGCTCCCTTATTATGGTAACTTAAAGTTACTAAGTCCCCTAAACCCTAAACCTCTATAGAATCCCTATAGATCCCTTTAAAGGGGCCCTTAAGGAACCCCAAGTAATCCCTAAACCCTGAACCCCTAGGCCCTAATTCTGTAGCTCTGCAGGCCGAGCTTTTCACCGCAGTTCCGACTCCGGAGGCGGTGAGCGAGCGCGAGCCGGAGTGCGGGGGCTCAGGAAGTTAGGATTCCTTTCAAGGGATCTATAGGTGTTTATAGGGTTCCTTTAAAGGGATCTATAGGGCTTCCTTTAAGGGGGTTATGGGGGTTTATAGTTAGGGCCGGAGTGCGGGGGCTCAGGAAGGATCTTTTGGAATAATAGTGGGGCCCAGAATAACTACCTACCTATACTATGTTGAAGGGTTCCTTATTAATTATGATTATAGTGTGGAACCGCCCAGAACCACAAAATCATGTTCTAATAACTAGTGGCACCTGTGTTGGTGTCATTCTTGTTCTGTGTATCTGAGGCCTTTGGTGAGGGTTTTAGATTTTAGATGGATGTATACGTCGGTTTTGAGCCCTGGTTTGTGTTGTTTTTTGTATTGGTACTTTTGCGCGTTTTTATACGCTGTCATAACATGGGCAATAGGAGGGTGGGCTTGCCGATAATGTAAATACGTGGTCCAAGGTTTGTGTTCCTTTCCGGACATGTGACCATTGTATGTCCTCCGGTTTTGTGAAATAAGAATTAGAGCCCCTGGCTCTATGATATTGGGTTCCAAGGCGGTGTGGCTTCAGATTCGAGGTTTAAGTGTCTAACAGTTTACATTTTGATCCCGCAAGGCTACATGGAACAACGTAACTTGGCCCAGTGGCCCTTGTGCAGACTCGGTTGGTGCGGTAGAGGATCCCAAGCACTAGATCCCAAACACTATACCTCAAATCCTTAAACCTTTTCTGGTTGTTTTGTGCTTCAGGAATTTCGGGATTTCCCAAGGGAGAGCTAAAAGGCACAGGCTAATACAGTGGTCGCAAAAATTCCTAATAGTCCCTACCTAGCTGTGGCTGTAGTTTGTTAATACACGGGCTATCATAATTAGGAGAGGGAAGTCTAGTATAACAGACCCCAAAACCCTGTTCTAATTATTAAGGCGCCTACATCATACAGCCCGTGTATTGTAGTAACCTTTATAGATTGCCTTTTTAAGGGGCTCTATAAAGGAACCCCTACTCTAAGCATCCGCAAGTCCAATTTATTGAAGCTCCCAGAGGATGGTAGCTAGATTCGGTCTGAACGCTTTCTGCTTAGTAAGTAGGCGGATGCACTTTACACATTTTGGGATAATATTTACCCACTGCAAAACTAAAAATGTACACTTCTGGATGCTTATGAACTCAGCAACTTAGCCTTTAAGCTAGGCTAGTTAGAACTTTTGAACGATGGGAGCAGCTAAAGGACGACGTGGCCAAGAGCAGAAAGCACGAACGTCTAACACCCTTACACCCCACAACGCGAAAAGCCAAACACGAAAGCCCTGAACCCGAAACCCTACTTAGAGGTTCATGGGACTTAGTAACTACGGTTATAAATTAAGGTAACTATACTTATAACTAGTTGTAACCCCAGTTAAGGTACTTATAACTGTAGTTACTAAGTCCCATGAACCTCCAAGTAGACCCTAAACCCTAAACCCTATAGATCCCTTTAAGGAACCCATAGATCCCTTTAAGGAGCTTTTTAAGCTACTAAGTCCCATGGACCTCCATTATACAACCCCTATAGATCCCTTCAAGGAACGCTATTCTAGAACCCTATATAGTAGCCTTATTAAAGCAGGAACCTTAAACCTTACTTACGAAGTCCCATGAACCTCCAAGTAAAATCCCCTGAAAGCCAACCCTAAACCCTATAGACCCCTTTAAGGAACCCTATAGATCCCTTTAAGGGGCCTTTTATCCCCTGAAAGCCGTCAGCCCAGGCAAGCTCGGCGAAGAAGCCGAAGCCGAAGCCGGAGCAGCGGGGGTTCCCGGAAGAAAGAGCTTAAGTTCAGTTTGGGTTTGGGGTTCTGAGTTTAGGGATTCTAGAACCCTTCCCCAGAGGGTCCAAATACCCAAATAGTAGGGTTTAGGTTCCAAAATCCATTGTCTGAGTGGCTTTGGGACCTTGAAACCCTTCTATTTGGGTACTTGGACCCTTAGGGAAAGGGCTTAAGTCCAGTTTGGGGTTCTGAGTTTAGGGAGTTAGGGATTTAGGGTTTAGAGTTCAGGGTTTAGGGTTCCGAGTCTTAGTGGCCCAAAACCCAACTTTTCAACGTTTGGGGCTCTTGTAAAGTCTTCTTATTGGAAAGTTTGAACTTTTCCCCCATGGGTATTTAGGAAGTAAGGGGTTTGGGATTCACGGTTTAGAGTTTAGAGTTCCAGGTTCTGGGTTTAGGGTTCCGAGTTTATGATTTAGGGTTTAAGACGTTTAAGATTTAACCGTAGGTTAGGGCTTAGGCAGAGACGTGTTTTTGGCGTCATGAGATACTGAAAGTCTGAAGATGCTCGTGGTCATAGGGCTTAGAGGACGGGGCTGAGGAGTTTAGAATGTCGGGGCGTCTGGTTTGCGACGAGTTTAGTTCTATGTTTAGGAGTACGGGGTGTTTGGGTTTATGCAAGTATTCGGTGTTTGGCTATGTCAGGGTTCAGGTGCTTTCAAGGACTCATGACGACTGTAGATCCATGGTTAATGAATAACCTGTTCTTCATTCATTGGCCATAGTCCCACACTTTTAGTGATTTTAGCGTTGTAATCCTCAACAGGCAGGGGGGGCGGGGTTCTTCCAGACTACAAGCAGATGCTAAAACTGGTTCAGGTTTTGTTAGGATCTATGTCGGGTTCATCAGGAATTGCCAACAAAGGTTTCAGGTTTCAAAAGAACTCGGACGTATAGGCTTTAGTGCATTCGGGTTCACATCTTTTGGCCTCAGAGTCGTTGGGAAGCACAGGCTGTAAGGGATTCGGGATGTAGATTCAAGGCTAAAGCCTCTGCTCGGAGGTTCATGCTACTTAGTACTTATATCTTACCTGTTAAATACCGGACTTTGGAGTACCATACTTTAATACTTTTCTGGTACCCTTGATTTGAAGGAAGCCCATATGAAAGGCAAAAAAGCATATTTTGTTTATTCTCCCTGGTTACTTCAAAGCCTTGCAAGAGCCGTTCTTGACAAGTTGTAGTTTCCGAAAATAGGGGACCCTAACATAGGCCCCTAAATAGTAGGATCCTTATAATAGGGACCCCCTAAATAAGGTACCCCTTAATTTCCGGAAGCTATATAAACCCTTATAGTAGCCCTTTGAAGGAACCCTTATATTGCCCTCATAGTACCCTTTAAAGGAACCCTAAACCCTAAACCCTTAACCCTAAACCCTAAACCCTGAACCCTAAACCCTAATTTTCGGAAGCTCCCAAGCGCTGCAGGCAGTAGCAGCTCAAGCTCCTCATCCTCCCGGTCTACGGCCAGGCGAAGCCCTACCGAAGGGGCTTGAATACCTTTAGGGTTTAGGGTTTAGGGTCCCTAAGGGCTCCTTTAAGGGACCTATAAGGGATTTATAGGGTTTAGGGTTTAGGATAGGGGCCGAAATAATTACCAAGACTTTTTTTTTTTTTTTTTGGGGGGGGGGGGGGGGGGTCCTTATGGTAATTATAGTATAATAGCCCCCAAAACCGTATTCTAATTATTAAGGCCCCTATAGTACGTTTGGTGCTCGGCAGAGTGCCTTGTGGGTTCGGTTATCGTTTAGGATTTGGGGCTTAGGGTCTAGGGTTTAGGAGTTAGGGTTTAGATGGAATTGGAAAAATGGCTAACCTTGAGACCTAACCCGCGACAGCCTGATAGTAATGCTTGCAGTAACCCTGACATTCCTTTCAGAACCCTTGTAGTAATCCTAAACCTTGTACATTTAACCCTGATACCCCTAAGCCCTACGCCTCGACGCTTAAGCAATGACAGAGCACACACTCCAAACCGTAAGGCCTAAGCTGTTGTAGAACTCTGTTGAAGATCCCCTTTACAGCCCTTTGTAGATGCCCCAAAAGACATCGGCAGGAAAGAGGAAGAGGAAGCGCCGTTGAAGACCGGCGAGGAGGCCTGGCTCCTGCTTCTCTGAGGGTCTTCAGAAACAGGGTTTACCACAGGGGTTACAGCGGGTCTCACGGTGTATAAAACTCGGCTTAAAATACAGCTCGCTCTCAATACATACATGTATAGAAAAATTTGTGTGTGTTGGGGTATATATATATGTTTGTGTTTACACAATCAGTTTTTTTGTGTCTCTCTCTCTCTCTCTCTCTCTCTCTCTCTCTCTCTTCCTACATATATATATACATACACACACACACACACACAAGCAGCCACAGGCATAAGCAAACATATATGCGTACATACATACATCCATGCATGCATGCATACAAACACGCGCATTGGTATATACCAAGGGCTCAAGCCTTTTCATGCGTAGGCATTCCGGGGCTAAGTATATGCTTCAACCATCATACATTGACCTTGCGGCCTTCTATGTCGATGGTAGCTTAGAGCATATCTGGTCGCGGAATTGTACAGGGTTTGATTGGGATTTTCTGGGTTTAGGGTTCTGATTCAGGCGTTGAGGTTTAGAGCTTGTTGGCTATTGATGTAGGGTTTAGCAAGAGGGCGTTGGACACACACAAACACAGAGAGGCACATGCATAAATACATAAATAAATAAATAAATAAATAAATATATATATATATATATACACATATATATATAGGTTCTATATGTATGTATGTATGTATGTATGTGTGCCTATACGTATCACTATACACATAAATACACATACAGCATACACGTATGTGGCGCGCTCTAAGATGTGGTGGTTCGCGGCCAGTGCTCCGAGGCTTGAATGGTGCCGGGTTAGTGCACAGTGTGTTGGGGTTTGAGATAAACGGATAATCCCTAAAACCCGAAGCTTTGGGTGCCTCAAAGGAATTTAAGGTCTAGGGTTCCTAAATACCCTAAGCTTTGGGTGCATCCTGCATGGCAAACCCTCATGGTATGCTGAAAGGAACCATTGCCTTGAAGCCACCTCCAACTCCTTATGGAAACCTAATAATCCATAAAAGAGCCCTTGTGATATCCATGAGGGAACCCGACACCCTAAACTCTAAAACGAACCTTCTTGGTATCCTTAAAGTAGCCCTTACAGTACCTTAGCGAATTCTTCCGGCATCCCTAAAAGATCCCGTACACGCATCCCTAGAGGAACTCTAGACCCTCCTGAACTGTTCCAGGAAGAGCACATGATCCTGACACATCCAAGACAGAACTGGGTCGAGTACCAGGACCTAGCTCTGGCAACGGCAGGGATCGTGGACGCAACCATGTCACAGGTCTTCGACCTGATTGAGGATAGGGAATAGCAAGACCAAGCCCTGGGTCGGATACGAACTGCTGCGCCTGCCTGTGGCCTCTGGCATATGTGGCCGCGATCCAATGATCAGCTCGCAATCGCTGCAGGCTGCCGCAGAGATCAGATGCGTGAGCAGCAACACCTCCGGCTGGCGCCACAGCTGATGAAGCTGCTGCTCGGCGACTTCGATGGCGATACGGTGAGCAACCGCTCTGGTACCTTACAGAACCCTTTCGGTATCCTTGACAGAGTTTTTTGACTGCCCAGGTGAAAGGAACATACGAGCCACTCAGTGAGAAGCCAACCATGAAAGCCCAAGAAATAATCAATTTCTTCCATTATCCATAAGTGTCCATGTACTAACATGGTATATACTTGGGCCTTAAAGTACTCCCTACATAGGTACATTGGGCCCGAAGTATGTACTATTTGGGTACATGGACCCTTAGGGTTATTTTGTTCCGTTTTCGGCTTTGGTAATGCGTGAAACGAAGAGAAACAAAGCACTCATGAATAGAGCTGAACAAATTCAACGAACTTGCATCTGTCGCGTGCCTGCATTTTTTCCTTAATTTCATGCTTCGTTCCATTCATTATAGATTAACCCTAAACCCCAAACCCAACCCAATATCCCCTAAACTCTAAACCCTATAACCCTTAAGCCGTAGACCTATACTCCAAATCCCTAACCCTAAACCCTATAACCCTAAAACCGTAAAACCCTATAACCCTAAACCCCCAACACCCTATAGCCCCTAAACCCTATACCCTGAACTCTAAACCCCATAACCCCCTTAAAAGAAGCACTATAGATCCCTTTAAAGGAACCCTATAACCCCCTATAGACCCCTTTAAAGGAATCCTAAAGCCCCTTCAAAGGAGCCCTAAACTCAAACCCTCTACCTTAAAGGAACCCTATAAACCCCTACATATCCCTTTGAAGGACCTAAGGAAGCCACCCTAAACCCTAAACCCTAGACCCTAAAACCCCCAAACCCTAAACCCTAAACCCCTAAACTCCTAAACACTAAACCCTAAACCCCTAAACTCCTAAACACTAAACCCCTAAACCCTAAAGCCCCCTTAGAAGGAGCAAAAAGCACCTGGAGCAGGTGGAGATTTTCGGTCTCAGCTCCGAGGGAGGCAAGGCTCTCAACGGCCAGAAGGCGACCCCCCCCGGGGCTTGGGGGCTTAGGAAATAGGAAGTTAGGGTAGAGAAGTTAGGGCTTAGGGGTTTCATAGGAATTTAGGGGGCAGAAGTTAGGGTTTGGGGTTTAGGCTTTGGGGGTTTAGGGGTTTAGGAGTTCAGTGTTTAGGGGTTTGGGGTTTAGGGGTTTAGGTTTTAGGGCTTAGGAGTTTGGGGGTTTCCAAAGGGATCTATAGGAGTTTAGGGGTTCACCTATAGAGTTGGGGTTCTGTAGCGATATTATGGGGCTTGGGAGTTTCGGGGTTTAGGAGTTTGAGGGGTTAAGGGTTTGGGGGTTTAGGTGTTTAATAGGAATTTAGGGTTTAGAAGTTAGGGTTTAGGGTTTAGGGGTTCCGGGTTTGGGGTTTAGGGGGCTTGTTGGTTTCGGGGTTTCCAACGGGATCTATAGGGCTTTAGGGCAAACCTCTGCGGCTTGGGTTTAGGAAATAGAATTTAGGGTTTTGAAGCTAGGAATTTTGGGTTTAGGAGTTTGGGGTTTAGGCGTTTATTTAGGGTTCCAAGGGTAAAAGGAGGGACCCTTAACAAGGACCCCTAGGTATATACCCATAATATAGCTGCTATATACCCATTCTATAGCCCATTATAGGGACCCAGGGGTCCCCATTAAGGGTCCCTCCTTTTCCCCTTTGAAGGGTTTAGGGTTTAGGAGTTCAGGGTTTGGGGATTGGGAGTTTCGGGGTTTCCAAAGAGGGATCTACAGGGCTTTAGGGGTTCTTTAATGGACCTATAGAGTTGGGGTTTAGGGGTTTGGGGGCTTGGGGTTTAGGAGTTTGAGGATGGAGACGAGCACCTCGGGAATTTCGCTTTAGGATATGGGCTTAAGGTTTAGGCTTTAAGGTTTAGGTTTGAGGGATGACGCTTTTGAAAGCCCGGTTGAAATCCGTTGTAAAGCCCTCAAAGCCCTACCTGTATCCCCAAACCCTACAAAATAGTAGGTTATGACCCCTTAATTAGAAGGTAGAACCCTTAAAACGGTAGGTTTTCGGATCCCAAGGTAAGCGCTAAGCCCCAAGCCACCGAAACCTTAGATCCTGAACCCTAACCCCTCGAGCTCTTAGCCCGAAGCCTCAAAGTGCAGGGCGTCGTGACCGAGTACAGCACCGAACGGGATCGCTGGGAGGTCATGATTTCCTTGGAGAAGGCTCTTCGGGGTTCTGGGGTGCTGGGGTTTAGGGTCAAGGGATATGATTGGGTTCTTCGAGAAGGGTTTTAGGGTTCAGGGTTCTGGGTTCCTGTTCCGGTGGAGAAGGTGCAGTTCACGCTTTCAGCTTCTGGTGTACTTAGGATGCTTGTGGACTTTGTCGGAAGGCTGTTTGACGCCGAATGGCTATTCTATCGTTATACATGCATGCATGCATACATCCATGCATGCATACATACATACAGAAGCACACATGCATGTACAGTAACCTATATTTAAGGGCAAATTCAAAGGGCTCTAAAGGCGATGTCATTATTCTTTCCCTTCAGGTCGAAAAGGAATAGCCGACACCACGCAGCCTAGCCCTAGCGGAAAGAAGACCCGCTTCAGGGTTGAAGTTTACAGAACATCCCAGACTTTGGAGGCCCAAAGCCCTAGACCCTGAAGTCCTGCGTGGTTTCTAGGGTGCCTTTGCGCAGCCCAACTCTAGATCCTGAAGCTTATAGAGATCCTTTATAGTACCCTCCAAGGGAACCCTTGCAGATCCCGTTTAGGAGCCTTTAGAAGGAACCCCTTGTAGGGCCCTTTCAAAGGATCCCCTCATAATTAGGTCCCTTTGAAAGAACCCCGTCATAGGTCCCTTTGAAGGCTTAGTAGCTGGGTAGGTATCATAAAGCGTTTTGGGGTTTATATATATATATATATATATATATATATACATATATACATATATATATATATATATATATATATATATATATATTCATTTATTTTGTTGCGTTTGTATATATATATATATATATGTGTATATTTTTTCCTACCGTAATTGAAAAGGTTACCTTTTTGGGGCTGGGGTACTCAGCCCTTAAGACGGAGTTCTCCGTTTTTGTCCCTGTCAGGTTGTGAGCCTTCGCCCGCGGAATCTGCGGAGGTCGAAGCCTCCGCCTGGCGCGATGCAACCCGGGCCGGGGCGCTCGGGTGGTTGGAGGGTTTTGGGGTTTAGGGGAATTTGGGCTCTTGGGGATTTTGGGGTTCAGGTGATGTTGGGGTTTGGGGGACTTGGGGTTTGGGGGACTTGGGGTTTAGGGGAAGTGGGGGTTTTATTATCAGATTTTGGGGATTTGGGGTTTTGAAGATGTCGGGTTTAGGGGATTTGGGGTGCTATTACCGGATCTTGGGAGTGGGGATTTAAGGTTGAGGGGTTTAGGGTTTGTAGTGTAGGGTTTTACTCTCACAGGCTGCCGCCAATCACCTGAAAAGGTTTTTTGAGACTCAAGTGGCAACCGAGTCCCTCTACTAAGAGGCCCAGGGGACTTAGTAAGTGGGTTATAAGTAGATTTATAAGTACCCTATATGGAGATATCCCGAGTATAGCCGACTTACTAAATCCCCTAGGCCTCGAAGTAGCCAGCATAGAATCTTCGGACCTGACGGGTCCCCAGATCGCTTTGCTGGTGCTGTACTTGAAGGGCGGGGGCTTCGTTCGCGTCTGCATCGGCGCTCCAATGCCTGCTGGCTGACCCCATATACGAAGGATGTGACCCAAGAGGACGTCGAGACTTTCAAGAACTCATTGAACAATACTACCGTGATCGACTCTGGGGTAAGGCGCAACCTCTTGCACCGACAGGAGGTGATCCGGAAAGTTTTCATCTGTGTCTGTGCAATCGACGTGGACACTTCGGACCTGCCCTTGGCCGTGGCAGACATGGATGGTTGTCAAAATTATGGTCCCTTTTGGGGAACCCTAAATATTAGGTGCCGTACTATGATAAGGACCCAAAAAGGGATCCTAATTTTGACAACCACCCACATGAGGGCGACCCAGATGACCAAGATTGCAGCCGGGTGCTGTGGGCCCTGTGTGGGGCGTAGGGTCCGAGACGTGTCGAAGGAACGGAAGTTGGGGCTCCTCCTCGTCGTCTTTCGTGATTTTTTGCATGTGTGTTTGGGGTTTGGATCTGTTCTCCTGGAGGGGAGATTTAAGTGCATTGGGGGTTGCGCATTCATTGTGCTGCACTTAGTATTTAGGGTTTATAAGTTGTAAAGTACGGATATGTTTGAAGCATTGGGGGTTTGTTATCAGGTTCATGGGCGTAGATTGCACGGCTCTGGAGGTCTAAACTTCATGCGAGGCTACGGGTGTTCATATCTGTCTGACAGAATGGCCATAGTACAAGTAGAGAAGGGTTTTGAAGATGTTTCAAGTTTCCCACTTCCTTCATAAAACTTCATCACGTTTTACCATCCCACGTCGTCGGCTGCCTGTGAGGCAGCTTTAGTCGGTGGCGCAGTTCATTAGCGACCCCTTTAGTTGCAGTACCCGACTTCCAACACTGTAGGCCCTAACCCAAAAGCCCTTCAATTTAGGGTTTGGGGGGGTTAAGGTTACCCTCAGGGTCCATGTACTTAAATGGAGTATATACAATGACTTCAACGTTAGTCCCTATTTAGGCACTTTGGGGCCACTGCATATACTATTTGAGTACATGGTCCCTTAGAGCAATTTTGAATAATGAGATCCTGAGTTGAGCCCCTAAGCCAGCACCCTCAACTGTAAGGTGACGCAACACAAGAGATTCAACTGCCCAAACACTAAACCCTAAATCCTGAACATGTGCAATACATCTTCGCATGGTTCTAACTAATCATCCAGGCCACAGTTCAAAGTCCTACATCCCAAAGCTTAATTCATACACCTGTTTAGGATTTAGGGTTTGGGGTTTTGAGTTTCGGGTTTGCATAAGCCGTAATACTAAACCCTAAACTCCCTTAACCCTAAACCCGGCCCCGTAAACCACAAACCCTGATCTTGCTGCAGGCGCCCCGGGCAGACGCAAAAAGCAGAGGGGCACATTCCTTAGCAGTTCGTGGGGTGGTGTCTAGGATTTGGGATTTAGGGCTTTAGGGGTTGATCTTCCTTCGGGTTTGGCGCTGAGGCTTAGGATTCATGTAGTTTCGGTGTGGGGTCAGATCCAGCTTTGCTTCGGTATGTCGATTGATGATTTGGAACTGTTGTTCAAGAGCAGGACCTGATTGAATTGCATCCATTTGTTTTGTAGCTAATTTTCTGGTCTTGGTAACATTCCAACATCGAAAAACATCGGATTAGTCTTTTACGGAGTGTGAGGGTTGGGTTTAGGGTTGAGAGGTTCAGGGTCGTCGGGTCTTGATGTAGCCCTTGATGTCGGCGCTTACAGGATCGAGTTGTATCCTTATTAACTAGTGTACCTTAAACAGAGGGTATGACCATTAACTATCTGCGCATTTCACCTGTTTCAAGCACCTTGTTACTCTAGGTATATCCTAAGTGTATTCTAGGTAAATCCTAAAGTGCTACGCGGTTTCTCAGCATCGCTGCGATTCTCAAAGCTCGAGGCAACGTGGCAGGGAGCAAATTGTGCCAAGGTGTTAACTTCCATGGCCCTTTGAAAACATGATAGTAATCGCGAGTGATTGTGGGATCTGAACACAACGGCATACATTTGTAGCTTCACCTGGTTTCGGTTTCGAGTGCAGTGCCCGTAGCCCCAACAATTACCCCTGTAAGGAACTGCATAAGGAAACATATCCAGGGTCCGGGTAGGCCAAGCTTGCCTTCCATCTATATGGTGTGCCGTTACACTGGCTTTTCGCAGTCGACTAGCTCGACAGCCTTTAACTGACATATCAGCCACGTTTCCAGGCCTTATTGCCCAAGGCGCTTTGAAGCCAAAGCCTCGCCAGTTCAGAAAGGCACATCAGCCAGCTCGGCTGAAAGCTCAAAGGCCAAAGGCCCTTATATAGGCCAAAGGCGCAGCAACGCAGTTAAAAGCCAAAGGCCCACACGCAAAAGGCTGGCCAAAGTGGCCCCAGAAAGGCCACAGGCCTTCAAAGGCCGTTGACACATCACTGTGGCCAAAGGCCAAGGCCGGCTAGACGAAGCAGCCAAGGCCGGTGACAGTCTAAAGGCCAAGGCGGACTGAGAAGCTTGATACATCACCTTCGCCTGCTGCAGACTTCTCCTTGACTAAGCTTGGTTTTATTTGTCGTTCGCAAGCCCAAGACCCTGAACCGCAAACCCCAATCTCAATTTCCTAAACCCAAACCCCAGAACAACCGACCTGACGCTGTGTGAACCGAAATCCCGTAATGATCGAGACTGGTTTGGGGTTTTACGGTTTGGGGGTTTTAGCTTTAGGGTTTCAGGTTTGAGGCTGAGGGATGTAGCGATAGTGCGCAAGGTTTGGCATTCAGTGCTTTCAGACTATCTCCTGATATTGCTTTTATAGCTCTGACCAACTCTTCGTCCAATAAACCCTAACTTGTAATCTGTTCCGGGACCCCGTAAATCTACATGTAGACGGGCCTGTGTGAAAAACTTATAGTAAGGAGCCCTAAAAGGTAGATTACCCTGAACTCTAAAACCCTAAACCCTGAACCCTAAAAGTTCAATGATTCAGGACCGCCTTTCTTGAAGTTTGGGCTTGGAGGGTAGAGGCCTCGTTTGGAGCCTCCAGAGTGTTATCACAGTACTTAGAGGTTCATGGGACTTAGTAACTATGGTTATAAGCAAGGTAACTATACTCATAATTGGTTATAACCACAGTTAAGGTACTTGTAACTGTACTTACTAATTCCCATGAACCTCCAAGTACGCCCTACTGGTTTTGGGTTTCGGGTTCAGGAGGTCAGGCTTCGAGGTTTACCGAGAGGTTCATACCCTGCCCCCTTTTTTAGGGTACCTAGTTCTTTGGTTAGGATCCGTTATATCGAGAAGTAGGTAACCTAAACAAGGGGCAGGGTATGAGCCTCTGGGTAGGGGTTCGAGCACAAACATTGCACCCTGAAGTTTTTGTTTCGGGGATCCCTTTAAGGTCGAGATAGGTACTGCACAGGCGCACGGACCGTTAGGGAGGGTTCAGGGTCTGCGGTGTCCCTATAAATTGAAGTTTCAGGGTTTAGGGCCTAGGCACATGTATGTCTTCATTGCACAAGTTATATTATTTACGGTATGATATGTCCGTTATGTTCTTTCCTAAGAGCGGGCTTCTTTTCACACGGGCTTAAAACAGCAGCGAAGTGTCTTCAGCGCACTTAATTTTTGAGCCCTAAACCTCTCAACTCCCCTGAAAGCTGTCCCTATTTCCCAAATTCTCAAGCTGAAGCCCAAACCCCAAAGCCTCAACATCAAATCCCCAATTCTAGACCCTGATACCCTAAAACTCTAACTACAAGAAGCCTTAGGCCCACGACCCTAAAGCGCTGCGTAGACCTACTCCCCCAGGTCACTTGCTTCGCTTCTTGGCATGGGAAAAGCCAAAGAGGAGCCGAGGTCTGAATCGCAGCAGGCCGCATGATGGGGGCTGATTTTTTTGATTTGAGGCTTTAAGGCTTTAAGGTCTAGGGGTTTAGGGGTTTAGGGTTTGGGGGTTAAGGGGTTAGGGGTTTAGGGGTTAAGGGTTTAGGGGTTAAGGGTTAAGGGGTTTAGGGGTTAGTTGGGGTTTAGGGATGTGGGATTTAGGCGGGACTTAGCTGCATTATTTTAGGCTTTAGGGTTAGGGTATGGCTGTGGCTGGATTTCTCTGCCGTTCATCATGAGTATAGTGGTTCTACCGTAGTGCAGCTTCTGGGTGGGAAGGTGTGCTATAATTGAGACCCTATAAATCCTACTTGGAGAGTCATGGCCCATAGTTGGTACAGGTATAAGTACTTTTGTCTGGGGACGTAAGTACTCATGCAGTAAGTATAGCTACCCCAGTAAAGACTATAGTTACTCTATAGTTACTAAGCCCCATGAGCCTGTAAATGAACCCCTAAGCCCTTAAGCCCTAAACCCTGAACTCAGATTGGGCGGTTTCTACTTCTAATATTTTGGAAGCGAAAATGATCCAGTTTATGTGCAGCGAAGGTAATTCATTTAGGGTTTGGGTTTGGGGGGTCCAGATATGAACCCCGGACCCTAAAGCCCAAAGCATCGTCCTAAAGCCTCAGCCCCAATAACATCACTTTAAGTCCCAAACTTCCTAAGCCCCTCACCATCTAAGCCCCAAACCATCACCCAAAACTCCAATTCCTCAAACCCTCAAGCCTAACGCTCAGCCCTTATACTACAGTCAAAGCGGGAAAGTTGGAAGATGGTTTACCGAGATTGGCGCATGGCGTAAAGCATGTTCCAACTTCAAGTTTGGCCTTCCATGTTTCAATTCTTCCAAGTTTCATGTCTTCCAACTTTGGTTTCGGCGGGATTCACGGGCATGCACAACATGCCTTCCTCCCACTGCTGTCACATGCAGAGCCACGGCCAAAATGCTCTACCCCAACTACTGGCAGGATTCAGAAACAGTCCAGGGCACGGCGGAATTACTTTCCCCAACTACGGGAACTACACCCACTGTACCGCCGCATTCAGAACTACGCCCGCCTTGGGCCCAAGTACTGCCGGTATTCACATACAGTATCATACAATCGACGGCACGGTGGAATCGCTTTCCCCCAACTACTGGCGTCTCCAGGACACCGTGAGTTTTTTCACCTGAGTACTGGCTGGAATGATCGCTTTCCCCCAAGTACTGGCGTCTCCAAGTCGCACCATCAAAGTTTTTTCCACCGAGTAAAACAGAAATTGAACAGATCCAGTCCAGCGGCGGAAAGCTTTGCTTCAAGGAAAGCCGGGATTCAGAAACAATCGAGGGTACGGTGGAATTGCTTTCCCCCAAATACTGGCGTCTCCAGGACGCGCCGTGAAAGTGTCAGGGTTTTCGCTTTCCGCCCAGTACTGGCGCCTCCAGGACGCACGGTGAAAGTACTTTCCCCCCAGTACTGGCAGAAACTCGACCGACCCAGTCGAACGGCGGATCCGGGGATGCGGGGTTGCCCTTCCCGGGATGCGGGGTTGCAGGGTGCTGCCAGGCAAGAAGTGCAGTGCCTGCCAAGCAAAATAAAGTTGGAAGATCGCACTAACAGGCCTCCCCCGTTTGGAGACCATGCGGGGTGCCTGACTGCCCAGAACGGAAAGTTGGAAGATTGGGTTTCAAGTCCAAGCGCGCCGCAACGCACTTTCCAACTTTCCGGCTTCCACCATAGGACGCCCAGCAGTACCCTTATTTCCTTTTTGTAGTCCTAGGCTCCTTATAAAGTTACCCAATATCAAAAAGGGAGCCCTGTTTATTCCTAGGTTCCTGGGCAATTCTGGAGCTCTTCTCCCGAGAATAGCCCTCAACCAAAAATCCACGAAGGCAATATACACCTCACCCCTTGGGGTGTAGCTTAGAGTTTAAGGTTTAGGGTTTATAGATTTCAGGGACCGCCTTCGCAGGGAGTATGCCATCTACCAAAAATAAGCGCGCAACTACTACTCGTTACTCGTTACTCCTCCTCCTCCTCCTACTACTACTGCTACTGCTATACTGCTATACTGCTGTACTGCTATACTGTTATATTGCTATACTGCTCTACTGCTCTACTGCTCTACTGCTCTACTGCTATACTGCTCTACTGCTATACTGCTATACTGCTATACTGCTATACTGCTATACTGCTATACTGCTATACTGCTACTGCTGCTCTACTGCTATACTGCTCTACTGCTCTACTGCTCTACTGCTCTACTGCTCTACTGCTCTACTGCTATACTGCTATACTGCTACTGCTGCTCTACTGCTATACTGCTATACTGCTATACTGCTATGCTGCTATACTGCTACTGCTGCTCTACTGCTATACTGCTATACTGCTATACTGCTATACTGCTATACTGCTATACTGCTATACTGCTACGGCTACTGCTGCTGCTACTACTACTACTACTACTGCTGCTACTACTACTACTACTGCTGCTACTGCTACTGCTACTGCTATACTGCTCTACTGCTCTACTGCTACTACTACTACTACTACGACTACTACTACCCCACGCTTAAGAACGTACTTATCGCGAGCTTTGGAAGCCCAGGATTCCTAGACCCCAACCCAGAAAGCCCACAAACCTTAAATCCTAAACCCAAAACCCAAAACACTAAACCCTAAACGGTTTAGGGTTTAGGGTTTAGGGTTTAGGGTCCACAAACCTTAAATCCTAAACCCTAAACCCTAAACCCAAACCCAAGGATGCTGCAGACTGCTGCCCCCTGGAAAAAGGAGTTCAAAAAGCAAATATCCAAACCCACAAAGCCTCCCAAACCCCCGAAACCCAGAATCTTGAATTCCAAGCGCAGGCCTCGTCAACTTCGCAGCCGAGTCCTCAGCAAAATCGACAGAGTTCCGGGGCTGGGCAGAGCCGTTCTGGGTTTCATTCTACTTGGACCCCAAAAGTACGTAGAATAATAGCCTTTTATAGGTATTGGGCCAATATTTTACCTACTTTGGGGAGTTTAGGTAGGGCCCCCGAAGGTCCTAAACCCTAAGCCTTCGCAGGTCACCTCGTAATTTCTTGTCGACTTTAGACTAGAAGGAGTGCCTGACGTTTTGTTTGGGGTCCAAGCCCTAAGGGCCCATGTATCCATATACTTTGGGCCCAATGTGCCTATAGAGGGGTACTTTAAGGACCAAGTATATACTATTCGAGAACATGGACCCTTAAACCCTAAACCCTTATAGGAACCCTTATAGAACCCGTATAGGAACCCTTCTAGGAACCCTTAAAGTGACCCTATTTGAGTACATGGACCCTTGGGACGGTTTGTAGGACTTTACGATTGGCTCATGCCGAGGCCCATCCCCGAGCTTGTGAGTTGTTAGGGTTCCCGCTACAGGGCGCGGATGAGTTCGGAGTTTACCTAACCCCCCAAAGTAGGTAAAATAATGGCCCAATACCTATAAAAGGCTATTATTCTACATACTTTTGAGGTCCAGGTATGGCGTATTTAGGCCTTGGTGCTTAGGAAGGTAGGGTGTTCGGACTTGTAAGGATTGCAGGATGCAATAATTCGGGTTGGAGGGATCAGGATCTCCTTGGGGGTCAGAGATGTGCCAGATAGTTGTACATCGAAAGCAAAAGTTAAAGCCTTCCATGAAGTTGGAGGTGGTGGACAGGAAGGATACAGTCGGGGTGCTTGTGCACAACCGCAGTTTTAATCGTCAAGCCTGACAGAAGTATTTAAATTTACCGTCGAAAACACTTATCACAGAATCTCTGCCCTAAACCCTAATCCCTAAACCTTAAACCCTTAAACCCTTAACCCCTAAACCCAAAGAACGATGGTCCAAAATAGCCACCTTGCAGCCCCTGCAAGGTGGCAGTCAGTGTGGTCCAGGAGCGCTGGACAGGCGGGGGGGGGTGTTTGCATTCGGTATCCAAAGAGTTTATGGACCTTATTTTGGGGGCCTTTTGTAAGGATACTACTATGTAGGGTACAATATAAGTATATAAGGGTCCCATATTTTCGGTGTATACCCCTTTGGCGCATGAACCCTTGATCAGGGCTAATAAAACCTCTTGCGGTCGAACTTTTCACCATGCCCTCAGCATTTCAAAGCTGCAAAGCCGAAATCCCGAACAATCAAGAGCGACGTAAACCGTAAGTTACCCTAAGCTTCCAGGGACGTTTTGATTGGGTCCTGAAGGGATCTGGGGCCCTAACTATAAGGTCCCTGGAAGCATAGGGTTATAAAGCCACCGAAGCCCTGAGACCGTAGCTTCCGCCATTCCTAGCAGTGCGCTCAACACTAAAGCAAAACCCCAACTGACCCCAACCCTCAAATCTAATCGCCTTAACCCCAACGACAAACACAGATTGAAGCCTTCTAGAAACCGTATTCACTATAGAATCCCTATAGGGTCCTCGTCAAATCCGTAAACATCCTCAAACGTTCAATATCCCTGACGAACCCGTACATAACCCTGCAACACCCTATAATCCCAACTGAAGCCTTGTAAAACCCGTCTATTGCCCTATCGAGCTTTTGGTTACCCCTTACGGTAGAAGCCAAAAAGTTGGAAACCCAATAGCCTCAATCCTTAAGAGGAATGTATAGGGAATCCAGGCACTATTTGGCCTTAACCCGGTTTCCAACTTTATGGGGCTTACTGTAGAGTAACGGTTGATGATATAAATCCTGCATTACCCATAATAAGGAATATACCATAATTCCCATAGTGTAGGGTCCTTAAGGTAATGTTTTCAACTTTTTAAGTATATATACAAAAGTAGATACTTAGGCCTTAAAGGGGTCCCTATATAGGTACCTTAAGGGCCTAACCCCTTGCAACCTCTTGCAGCAGGCCCAGGCGGCCCGACCACCCGCCTCAGCCATGAGCCGCCTCCTCAGTCTAGACCACTTGGAGGCTCATGGGACTAAGGGTACCTTAAAGGGATCTATAGGGTTTAGGGTTTAGGGTCTACTTGGAGGATCATGGGACTTAGTAAGTGAGGTTATAAGTACCTTAATTTGGGTTATAAGTAATTATAAGTATTGTTACCGTATTTGTAACCCAATTACTAAGTCCCATGATCCTTTAAGCAGGACACGGCGGCTTTGTCTATTTGCAAGCGCGCTATGTAGGGGCCTGAAGAATCACCACTACTGTTCTTGGGGGTTCCTTAAGTAGTTAATGCGGGCAAGTATACCATGATGCACCCCCCAAAATACCCTTTAAAACGAGTTCACGTCGATGTGTCCGCGTAGAAGGCAATCTCAGTAACACACCTCGGTTGAGATCTCACATGTAAAAGCACTTGTTCAATACATATTCTTCTTGATGGATGTGTTTCTCTGTGTATATGTATATACTCATGCATCTACATATCTCTGTTTACTTATGTGTTTGCATGTGTATACATACTCATGTATTTGTTTGTTCGTTTGCTTACCCAGAGTTACATATTCATTTATTTATTTATTGATTTATGTGATTATGCGTTCGTACTGTTCAAGTGCATGCATGCAAGCCAACCAGCCTTACACGCAGACACGAAGACCAACACCCTGAAAGACGGACGGACGGGGAGGCAGGCGAACAGAGGAACATCAAAGCAGTCGTGCTCGCAGACTGAAGCTGTAGGGTTGAGGGTAGGGTTTAGGATTTAGGGTTTAGCGTTTAGGGTTTTGAAGCACTTGAAAATTGAAACTGGAAGGTTGTATGCTTTCTGCAAGGATATGGAGAACAAACCCTAACGACCACTAAACCTTCCAAACCTGAAAAATGTTGTATAAATTATTTCCAAGGGTAAAAGGAGGGACCCTTAATAAGGACCCCTAGGTATATACCCATAATATACCCATTGTATAGCCCATTACAGGGTAGGGGTCCCCATTAAGGGTCCCTTATAGCTATTATATACCCATTATATAGCCCATGATAGGGTAGGGGATGGAGCCGAGGAGCTCTAGGGTTCGAATCGCGAAATATGCCTTGCAGTCAGCCGTTTTGGAACCCACCTATAGTCTCCATTGTAGTTCCTTTTCCCTGGGCATCAAAATAGCCCAAAAGCCTTACATAATATGGTCTTTGGGCCCAAAAGCCTGAATATATGAGTCCTTAGATGCCTAGGGTTTTGGGGTTAACTTATAGGATCCTTAATATATAATTTGTTAAACCAAAAAAAGGAACTACAATGGAGACTATAGGCAATATGGGTAGTTGTCAAAATGATGGTCCCTTTTTGGGGTACCCTAAATATTAGGTGCCGTACTATAATAGGGACCCCAAAAAAGGGACCCCAATTTTGACAACCACCCATATTGGGGTTATCGAAGCGCCCATCCTAATTATTATTAGGGATTTTTAACGCCACTCTACCAACTAGAGCTTTCCCGAATAGCCGCTAATACCATCATAGTTTGGCAAGGTATACCCCCGAGCCGTTAACCCCAAGCCCTATGTCAATATCCGAATCCGAATGATCCAAGCCCCCTTAAGAATCCTAAACCCTGAACCTTAAACCCTAAACCTTAAACCCTAAACCCTAAACCTTAAACCCTAAACCTTAAACCCTAAACCCCAAACCCTCTACCCTCCAGAGCGCCAGCGTACTACACCTTGTGACTAAGGCGAAGAGCAACTCTCGCTTCGACCTCGGCTTGAGGGTTTACCGAGGGATCCGAACGTCCGACCGCTTTCAGGGTTCCCACCGTACCAGGACCCCCCAAAGGCCCCCCTTGATTGAGTCCTTATGGCCCTTAATTGGGGTATTTGGGTTATATTAGAGTGTAGTTGGGGGTCTAGGTAGGGCTCCCATTTTAAAAATGGTACCTGTGAGTTCTACAAATAGCACCTGCGTCGGGTTGTTGGGAGCGTCACGGATAGGATTTATTATCCAGCTTTCAGGGTTCGGGGCTTGGTGGTTTAGAATCGGGCTTGGTTCTGGTAGGATTTGAGTGTAAGGCGGTTTAGGAGGTTTCCTTACCTAGGGGTCCTTGAAGGGTTCTGAGCGAATTTTTGTTCAAGGCTTTGGGCTTAGGGTTGTTTAAGGTTTATTGTTTTTTAGGGTTTAGGGTTCCTTGAAGGTTTCCACAGTGGATCAGGATTTCCGCGAAGAACCCTCAGGGCCCATGTGCCCATATAGTATATACTCGGGCCCTAACGTACCTAAATGGGTACTACGCTAAGGCCAAAGTATATACGATGTGAGCACTTGAAGTTTGAATGTGTAGCACTGGGTTCCATACAACAATACTTGGATTTCTGCTTGTGATTTGCGGTGCAGGGTGTGGCGCCAAACTGTTTAGCCCATGAAGTTGCCAGTGCTACTGATGGCTTTGAGTCTCACGTAAAGCGTTCTAAATCTTTAAAAGCAGCAACCCGACACCACCAAGAATAGCTCCTCATGAGGCTCCTCCATCTGCCCAGGTATCTTGAAAGCTTTCAAACCGACGCAGAGAAGGCGCGGGGGGGCTTCTGCTGTTGTGCAGCATGATGAGTGTGACCATGACTGACCTTGAATCCTAAGCCGCAGACCTCGAAGTATACAACCCTAAGGGTCCATGTACCTAGATCGTATTTACTTTGTCCTTAATGTAGTTCCTATATAGGTACTTTGGACCAAAGTGTATGCTATTTGGGTACATGGACCCTCAGAGCAAGTAGTACGCAAATACTCCGGGGTCCAATGTCGATAATCAGAAATGTATGACTAGTACCTACTTCGGGGTCCAAAGTTTGTTATCAGTACCTAGTTCGGGCAATCGGAGCCCCGAGGGAAACATGGAGAGTGAACGCACGCAGTCGTAGTAGAGTTGAACAGACGACATTTGATGTCGCAGAAGCCGCTCGTAGGGATAAGGGTAGAGAATCAAATGCTAACTGCAAGGCCATAAAAGCACGTCCCAGAAAGCCCCAACCCTGGTTACATAGCCAGTTCTTAACCACAAAGCTTTATGCCCGAAATCCTAAACCCTTAATCCCAAAATCCTGCCACTTAAACCTTAAGCCCTACTCACCTAGATCCAAAACTGTTCCGAGGTCTGAACTGTACTACTTCAGACTAGTGCACGCATTCGGAAATCGTAACATGTCTCTTCGTTAGTCAGTGCAGGGGTTGTTTGGGTTGAAGGTTTAAGGTTTAGGGTTATGGAAAGTGTGTCATGCAGGAGCTTCATTTTCGGGCTACGAGTCATGAGAACGTCGGAGATGTGCAAGCTAGACTATCGTTGAGGTGGTTCTGCTTCGTGTCCAGCTTGCGTCTTTCTCAGGGTCTTTCACACAGCAGACCGCGAATGATTCCTACTAGTGTCTGAGCTAAAGCTGTTATTGGAACAGGTCCTAAGTCCCGCCGACCTGCGAGTATAGACGAAGAGAGAACGGCTTGAACTCTAAAGCAGGGCTCTGGATGTTCCAAACCTTAGACCCTACCTATAGTCTCCATTGTAGTTCCTTCTTTGGGTTACCTTATAGGATCCTTAATATATACTTGGTTAAACCAAAAAAACGAACTGAAATGGAGACTGTAGGTATAATCCCTAAGCCCGACACCCTAGTCCCGAAACCCTAATCTCAACCCCTGGGTTCCTGAGTAGTACCCTTTTGCCCTTTTTCTTTTACTAGGATGCCCAGTAGTACCCTTTTTCCCTTTTTGTAGTCCAAGGTTCCTTATAAAGTTACCCAATACCAAAAAGGGAGGCCTTTTTATTCTTAGGTTACTGGGTATCCTAGTTTAGGTTCCCCTTATTTAAATCCGAATAGTAGGAAAAGTGTCTACTCAGGAACCTAGACCCTAAATCCATATCCCGAACCGAGCCTACTTGGAGGTTCATGCGACTTAGTAACTAGGGTTATAATTAAGGTAACTACACTTATATGTACTTATAATCCCAATTAGGGTACTCATACCTGTACTTACTAAGTCCCATGAACCTCCAAGTACCTCCGCTGTTGCAGGTGGAGCTGAAACGCCTCAAGCGCGAGTCCAAGGCAGTGTGTCGGCTTCGAAGTGTGTTTTTTTGGATTTTAGGGTTTAGGGGTCTAGGGGTTTTAGGGTTTAGGGGTTTAGGGTTTTTGGGGTTTAGGGTTTAGGGGTTTAGTGTTTAGGGTCTAGGGGTTTAGGGTTTAGGGGTTTAAGGGTTTAAGGCTTTAGGGTTTGGTGGATAGGGTATAGGGCATGACCCCCAAAACCCCAAAGTCTACATTAGATGAAGCCCTGCAGTCTATATAGCCCTGAACCGTACGTTACTTAATCCATGATCATGAACCCGATCCTGAACCTTGAGAAACTCCAAAACCACATCCAAATCCGAATCCCTTGCATATGGGCTTCTTGCTTGGAGATGGCCGGGGGCTCCATTGGCTCAGAGTCCATGTGCCCATCGAGAATAGACTATGAGCTTAAAGTACCTATACAAGAACCCATTTCAACGCTAAGTTTTCACGGCAGAGGTACATGGACCTTGTAAAACCCTGATACCATATTGTAAGCACTTAAAAGAACTCTTACAAGAACCCCTCAAAAAGCCCGTGAAGGCATGCGCAATAGGTACATTGAGCCTCCCTAGCTCCAAGTACAAACATAGTACCTGCTTTGGGGCTTGCCCAGGACCATCGCACGGTACCCCATACACCCCACCGGCCTTCACCCGTTTCCTCCGCAGATAGGAGAGAACACATGGGTAGTCGTCAAAATTAGGGTCCCTTTTTGGGTACCCTAAATAATAGGTGCCGTATTATATTAAGGACCCCAAAAAGGGACCCTAATTTTGACAACCACCCGCATAGGTCAAACAAAGACAATACCAGGAAAACCTCATTAGCAAAGCCCCTGAGCGAGGAGCCCGAAATCAGAACAGCCCCGAACCCAGCATCCTACACTTGGAGGTTCATGGGACTTCGTAAGTGCAGTTATAAGTACCTTAACTGGGGTTACAAGTAATTATAAGTATGGTTACCTCATTTATAACCCTGGCTACTAAGTCCCATGATCCTTTAAGTATACGTCCTCCTCGCAGATCCGGCGCGAGTTGGTAATGCAAGGCATCACGGACGAGGACTGTCCGCATGGGCCTTCGAATCGCTACAACCGCTCATGAGTGGATGGGTGGGGGGGGGGGGGTTAGGCGAAGGCTTTCGGGCTTTGGCGTGGGGTTATCGCAAATTAGCTCATACAGTCCGTTCGAGAGAGGAGCCTCATAGCAGTGGTGTTCTGCGCTCTTCCCTTCCAAGGGAAAAAGGAGGGACCCTTAATAAGGACCCCTAGGTATCTACCCTTAATATAGCTATTATATACCCATTATATAGCCCATTCTCGGCTAGTGGTCCCCATTAAGGGTCCCTCCTTTCCCCCTTTGATCCCTTGCGTGCAGGCAGGCATCCCTGAGGTTTCTGCTGGCGGTATTCAGCATGCGGCTGTTAGGAGACGTAGGGCCCATGGAGCTAGATAGGCCGACACAGGTAACATTTTCAGGGTTCTTGTTACAGGGCTTAGTGTAAGTTACCATAATAGGGATCTATAGTAAATAATGTGGTTTCTTCATTATAGTATCTTGAACTAAATCCCCGAATAAGACCCCAGTTTTCGGGTTCTGCACTCGGCTACCTGAGCCTGCGTGCTTTCAGGATATGGTGCGGGAGGCCAGCCGGATCTGAAATTTGACTGGTACCTATACCCATAGGCTCCATAGTAGTTCCTTGTTGGGACTACATTATAGAATTCTAAATATCAACCCCAAAAAGGCACTGCTATGGAGCCTCTGGGTATGGTCTCATTGCAGTTCCTTTTCGAGGTTACCTTGTAAGATCCTAAATAAAAAATGTGGTTAGACCAACAAAGGGAACTGCAATGGATCGAGGCTATAGGTCCTATAGGTAGTTTTGGGACGATGTTGGGTCATCGCCTGACGACGACTAGATCTTTCCGCTTCATAAGTCTTACGAGGCTTGGGGCAATATTTTGACTTCTTTGTCCTGGCTGCCAGGGATTAGGCTGAGGGGTTTACAAAGGTCTCTAGGTCCAACTATGCTTCCTTCTGTTGAGCTTTTTGAAGCCAAGTCCCTAAATTTTGAAGCCCTGAACTTTAAACTTTAGACCTTAAAGTCCTTGTGCGCCGGCTCTGGTCTATCGATCAAGGCGGGTTTAGGATGTTGGACTCCGCAGTCAAAGGAATTGGGTTTAGGGTTTAGGGCTTGGGTGTTCGTGAGAGTGGGTTTCCGACCGACACCACAAGTTGTATGCCTCAACAAACCCTGAAATCTTCAGCCAACAACTCCTGAACTAAGGTGATCCGTCAGCGTGAGGAGGAGCGACAGCAGACCATACTTTTCCGTGGCAAGGCCGGGAACTGCAGGGTTGGATTGATCGTTTTTTGTTTACTGTTTGAGGTTCAGGGTGCCCTTTTGATTTTCTCCGGTGCTGGCAAGCCGAAAAAGGCCACTGTAATAACGAAAGCCGTGAACCGACCCTCTACGTATTACACCCAAAAAAACCCCAAAGCATACACAGCAACCACGATCCTGGTTTGGAACCATACTCCGAAGCAACAGCCAAAATAACAGCCTCTAAAGGGATGATGGTCGGTTTCGGGGGGTTGTTGGGTCCACAGCTTTTCTCTTGTGCGGTCCTGGCTGCCCAGTGCTCGCCGTTTTGTCCAGGTAGAGACAGGTTTCAGAAGCCGATGGCTGGCAATCGCCGCGATCCTGTTATGCTAGACTCTCGCCATCTGCGAAAGGCTGGCTTTCCATCCAGAGCCCAAAATCCTTCTGAACCCCATCAACAAGCTGTATAAAGAACCTATACAAGGCAGCCGCAACTAGATAATTTGGTCATCGAGACCGGCCACGTGCCTTCGGAGTACTCGAGTATTGGTAAGTAGGACAGTCGCAGCTGCTGCCTTCATGGGAGCCCTTCTCATCTAATAGCTTTGGGCTAGGAGTATTTACATACAAACCTGTTCATTACTACCATACCAGAGATACCTTAATTTATATACAATAATACCAGAGATTAGTACGATCCAGCGGAAAACAATCCTTGTGGAGCGTTCCGTCCAACGTGCAAGCAAGAGACGCTGGCCTTGCCTGCGAGTCCTGAGGTCCTGATGGAACCTCGCAACTTGGGGGGAGTGCTATTGCGTGTATGTACTCGGAGGTTCATGGGACTTAGTAGGTACATGTTATAAGTACCCTTATTTGGATTATAAGTACATATAAGTGCAGTTACCTTTAATTTAACCCTCGTTACTAAGTCCCATGAACCTCTAAGTATTGCGTGTGTGTAGAGTTGCCAGAAAGGCCAACCGGACCTGCGCTCACACACTGTAGCTTCTGTGCTGCCATCCGCTGTCCATGTGAGTTGTAGTCAGTGAGCCCTGGGGGAACCGGGAGGGAGACTGCTTGACTTTCCCAGAACCGCAAAAATCGGCGACCTTTCGACCGACGGCGAGCTTTCGTCACATCTTGTCGATGGCTGCGCGGCTCCTGACTACATTTGCAAGGGGGCTTTGCATGTCCCTGACCCCCTTAAATTTCTTCAAAGCTAGTAGCGTGGACAAACTACTAATCCTAAGCCCACGAATTCAAATGTTCTTGCCCACATGGTGGGATGCAAACTCCAGGGACCTATGCGCATTCACTTTGCGAGCACGTGCCTCAGAGCTTGGTCTTGCAAGCGCATGTGCTTTGCAAAGATATAGAGAGTCCAGCCCAGAGAACCATGGCACATGCTCCTTGATTTCGTCTAGAAGAACTCGTCTATCTGAAGCTCATGACTGTGGACACTTAACTCGACTCTCCCCCATGTATCAGAACGCGACGCGTGGCTTCTGCCAAGGTAGAGCTCAGGAGCAAGGCTTGTAGTGTTCTCAGAGCACCAGCATTCGGAACCACCTTTTCCACTGTGCCTTGGCGACCCACCGCACAGAGGCTCCGATTTGCCAGTGCTTGGTGTGGAAAATATTTAGCATGGTTCGCAGCTGTTTCGGGCTGAACCGAGTTGAATTGGTAGCCATTCGCACAAGTAATGCTTGTCTTGTACAGGCATGACAGTTGATGTGGCCAGAGGTAAGTACTTTCAGCCACACTTTGTGGATCGGAGCGGGTCGAAGCCAAAGCGCCCCCTTTGCTGCAGCCTGGTTCTGACACCAGGTTCCTCAGGGGCCGCATCGCAGCGCATCAGGATCCGGCCACATGGAGCCAGAATCTCGCTCCAGTGTTCAAACGTATGATATCTCGGATGAGGGTTTCTCTCTTAAGCCCAAGAAGCGTGCCCCTCTGCCTGGTTGGCACCAGGTAGGGAATGCTCCAGACCGCGCGGCCTTTTGGCGACCATGGCCAACTATTCCTGGCAGCAGCCGGCTCATTTCATAATGCCTCAACACATATATTATATGATCTATATGGCCCATCCCATTTGTGGGGTATAAATGCCCGCAGCCCACTCCTGGTGTTGGCACCAGGAACGATGGACAACATCCAGGAGCGCAGGATCTGTCCATGGCTCCACAAAGTGGCAAGAGCCAGAATGCTCCAGGTTTAATAGACTGTTGCCGCCTTATTTCCTGATTTCGTTGAGTGCACCTACTTTCCTCGAACACCTTGCTAACCACGTATCGCCACAATGAGTACCGTCAGCAGCCTTTAGAGCCGTATGCATACAAGGCTGTTATGTACATAGCACAGAGTTTCGCTGATTGTAATCGTGTTTCCGTAGTGTCGTTTCTACAGTCATGATAGCTACCTCCGTACTCAGTTGTTGTTGGGTTTTTCCATCGCTGCATACATCCCAGGCCCCCAGTGGTATGTTCATGCCTGCGCTTGGCTGAAACCTCGCTCTTCAGCTTTCCCTGCCATGCAGGCTGCAGCTCGTGACAGCGACTCCTCTAGGCGACTGGGGCACACCATACTAGGGCTAATTACTAGGGCTTTAGGGTGTAGGGTTTAGGGTTTTAGGGTTCTAGGGTTTCAGGGTTCAGGGGTTTTAGGGCTTTACGGTTCTAAGGTTTCGGGCTTCAGGGCTTTTCGGATTTAGGGTTTACGTCCACGGTGTTTTAGGGTTTAGGTTTAGGGGCTTGTTGGGCTGAGAGCCTTGGCACGACCACTGCAGCTTTCCAAAGCAGATGTGTTCTCGAAGCACGGTTTATGGTTTAGGGCTTATAGGGTCTAGGGTCTAGGGTTTAGGGTTTAGGCTTAGGGTCTCGGGTTTAGGGTTTCAGGGTGTGCACATGTGCTTTCAACTGTGACTTGGTGTCTCTCCGTCCCGAAGCGTTAGAGACCTAGAGGCACCCCACCCAGAGACTCCAATATCCCTTAATGAAGGAAAATTCCTCAAATTAAAGGAGGATTCAGGCATATTGGAGCCTTTGGGCAACCCGAAGCCCTGAACTCAAACCGAGGCGAATCCTTCGTATAGCGAATGGGTAGTGATACGCAGAGTTTTGAGAACTTTCAATGCACATTGGATCTGCGCCTCTCCATAGCCCCAAATCCTGAAACCCTATAGACCCTAAAGCCCTAAAGCCTAAACCCCCTATCCAAAAATCTTGCATCCAAGGAGTCCAAGCGGCGAGCCTCGTGCCACCCCCGCGCCGGATGCGAAGAAGAGGCCGTCGGGAGGGCGCGATTCGCGGTTGGGATTTATGGCCCCTGCATTAGGGTTTCGGGCCTAGTTTGCCCTGAGTATAGATGTGCCTATATAACACAATCTATGACTTTTGCAGGATTCCTCTACATTTTGTAGTCCTCTTAATTAGAGATCTTTGTTCGTGACCCCAAAATAGTACGGTGCCCTTTTAAAGAGGACCCCCAAAATTGGAGAACTACATATGTACTTGGGCGGCAAAGCAAATAATTATTACTACATGTGTAGACCCTAACGGTTTTGGGGGGCTTGGGCTAGGGGTTAATATTGGGGTAGTTGGGCTTTACCGAGACCTTCAAGTGCAGTTCCTCCTTTTTAGTGTAGGGTTTAAGCAAATCAAGGTTTCCAGAGTTTAGCGATGAGGGTTTCAGCATACTCGACCATGGCCTACTTCCAAAGAGTGCAAGGACGACCTTTGTAAAGTTGGGTCCTGAACTCCTAAACCCCAAACCCGAACTTAAGCTAAGCACGAAAGGCCCAACGAATCAACAGCGAGGTCACATGACAACTCCTCGAGCTCCTCCTCCTCTTCCAGCGAGTCCAAGAAGCGCAAGGCGGGAGCCTGTCTCAACAGGGAGCTACCAGGGCTTGAGAGTTATGCATGTATGGAGGGAGGGAGGGAGGGATGGATGTAGGGATGCATGTACCTGTGCTTTGCTTACGTCTACCTCGGCTACTCCAAGTAAAGCAGATCTCCCGGGCCGAGGTTTCTGCGCACTGACATGAACCTGACTCGCACCTCTCGTGAACTCTCCGGCGGGCTCTGAGCTTCGTGCTTGCAAGAGATATTTTTGGAGTTTAAGGCTTGACTTTTCAATTAGAAGCACCCACATAACTCTCACATAACTCTAGCTTCGGCTTCGTGCCCGCCGGTCGGACTCTTAGCAGCTTACCAGCCGATGGATGCGGAGAGCATTCATTCTGGCACATCAGATCTTGTTGGGGTTACGGTTCCATGCTGCTACGAGTTTCAGGTCAGGTATCATGTGACTCCAAAGAGCCACAATGCATGTTCTGCATCCAGAGATGTTGTGTTGACCAGTGGAGAAAGCATGCGTTTGCAGCTTCATGCAGCCTGCAGCGGCACAAAACCGGTTCCACGAGTTCGCTTGATGCCAAAAACATCCCTGACTGTTAAGCATAAGAAGCCTCAAACCCCAAATTAAACCCTGAAACACTCAAGCCCAAAATCTTATCTGAAAAGTATCGAAAACTTTGCGTCATTTCGGCCTATAGTCCTAAACTAAGCCTAAGGCTCCAGGTATACAAACATGGCACCTACTTTGCGGTCTGAAAGTCTATAAAAAGGTAACCACTTGGAGCCCCAGGGTAAGACCTCAGGAATTCAATTTCGAAATGCCGGTCTCATAGGGTTTACCTGGACCCCCAGGAAGCTGCCTCTTTTAGGGCCCTAATATGATTTTTTTTATATAAGTCCTTAAAACGGTTTGTTACTTGGGGTTAAGGTAGGCCTCAGGGTGAGTTTCGGGTTCACGGCTCAGGCTCTAGGTTTTCGTGTTCATCCTTCAAAAGCTTAAGAGTTAGTTTAGGGTTTAAGGTTTAGGGTTTAGGGTTTGAGGGTTCACGAGTACAGTTCGGGATTGCACAACCAAGTTAAAGTTGAGGCCACTGACAATCCGTGACAGCCCCCAAGGCTCCATGTACCCATATAGTATATACTTAGGCCTTAAAGTACCTATATAAGGACCCCTCTAAGGTCTAAGTATCTACTATAAAGTTACATGGAGCCTTTGACCCTAAACCCCCTAAAGGGGCCGATAGTCCACCCTAAGGGTCGATGTGCAGACAATATAGTACCAAGAGGGGCCGGTAGATGCTTTCTTTATGGAGTTTAAATAGGGTTTAGGGTTTTTAGGGTTTAGGGTTTAGGGTTACTGTAAGGGGTACTATACCATAGGGCTTCTATATAAAAGTTACCCAAAAGCCGAGCCTTTTAGAGATTCGTTCCATAGTGGTAAGGTGTAGGTACCCCCTAGACCACATACGTTGGCCCTGTAGCACCTGCATAGCGCCTTTGAGGCCCAGGTATACACCATAAGGGTACATGGGTTTAGGGCTTCGGGTTTAGGATTGAGGGTTTAGGGTTTAGGGCTTCGGGTTTAGGCATCACGGACCATCTGCGAGTTCGTCAATTGCCTGAAGTGGTCTAGGAAGGGCAATGTGGTTTCAGGAGGTGGTCAACTTCACGTTTGGGGTCTTCGGAAAGCCCACTATTTACGGTTTAGGGTTACGCTTTTAGGGTTGAGAGCTTGGGCCCAGCCTACAGTACCATTCCCAGAAACCTAACCTCTAACCGCACTGTGTCCTTTGAGTTTCGAGCTCTCTCGTGATGACCCTTGTCCTGCAACGGCTGCATCGAGTGCTGGCGCAGCTGACGCAGAAGAGCTGAGATTAGATCCCTCTCTACTCTGAGTTGTATCGTGGCACTTACCCAGACCTTCCAAAATCCCTTAATTAAGGAATATACCTTCAATTATAGTAGGATCCCAAATATGAATTAAGGTGTATTCCTTAATTAAGGGATTTTGGAAGGTCTGGGTATCACATCTCGAGACCCTCAAGAGCCTCATGACACACAAGGGTCATCCAGGCTCGAAGCACCCCAAACCGTTCCTAGACCTTTTACTCCTCGAACTTCGACCCTAAACCCGAGACCCTAAACCCTAAATCAACCCCAAGCCCTAAACCCGAAACTAAACCCCTGAAAATTGCTCCCTAGCCGGCCTTGCACTGCAGAGTTTGGCACTTTGGGCGAAGGTCGGTGGGATTTCAGGGTGGATCTAGATCTCTGGGTTGTCCTTTGGGATCTTTTGTTTTTAGTTTCCGCTACTATTTTGTAGAGAACCATAATAGTAATATTAAAAGGGCTCAAGGGACAACTCAGATCTCGATGACAGGCTTGGGAGTTCAAGACTTCGGCGAACTCCCTGCACCCAAACTATCCTCCCCGATCCTCTCATGGCCTAGATTCCCAATGCTCCGGACGATATGAAGCTTTTTGGTGCGTATCTTTGTGCAGGGTCCCTGCACGAACCTTTATAACCCCGCGAACTCTATCAACCTCGACACAACTAAGCTGTAAAGTGGCCCATGGGTTGCGACCCAGTGACTTCTTAACAACAAGCTGCGCCAAGAGAGTCGCATTGACAGACGTTATGGCTCGGAAAGAGACGGTGTATCTATATATCTGTACGATGTTTGTATGTATCTATGTATGTATGTATTTATCCACCTATCTATCTAAAGTATAGACAGATATATTAATCAGATATTACGTATATTTTGTTATGCATATGCGTAGTGGATTGGGTCGTGTATGCATATGACTGTGTGCTTGGGGCGCAATATAAAAAAAACGAACAGTGCTTTCTGTTTGCTTCATACCATTATACAGGCGAAGATGCATACATACGTACGTCCGTACGTACATGCAGACATACAGACTTGCTTACTTACTCACGTACATCCCTGCTTTCATGCATGCAGGCATACATGCACAAATGCCCCTTGCATAAATATGTACACATGCTCGTATGACTAAAGCATGAGGACATCCATGAACTCATCCATACACACACGTTCACGCATACATGCATACAGATACACATGCGCAGTTTAGTGCTCACTTGTTTTTGCTTGTTCCACTTTTACTTGCTTGCTCACGGAGCATCATATTCACATGCGCACATACTTACACAACTTGCACACCTTTTCAGTTTTGTAAACACGAGTATACGCATCTCTGTCAGCGTGTGTATATACATATATGATATGATATCATGTTACAGCCATGGTTGTTTACGTGTGTGTATATAAACGCATATGTATAAGTACATATTTGTAAATCGACAACTATATATATATATAATATATATATATATATACACATACATGTATACATACATACATACATACATACACACATACATAAACACATGCACACACACACACACCTGCACATACACATGGTGATGCATACGCCCCAGCTTTCGCATCACATTTCCATGCATAAAGCTATGTTTATACATTGGCTTGCACATGTCATATACTCCGCATATAGATATATAGGTACACGTTTATCTGTCTTTATTGACTAGGTTCGATAGGTAGATAAGCACATAGACAGGCAGATAGACAGATGGATAAACAGGTATGTTAGAAGCATAGATAGACCGGCAACCGGATAGATAGGCAGGTAGATAGGTAGATCGACAGATCGGTTGGATCGGCAGTTAGATAGACAGCTACGTAGCTAGATATGCAGATATCCAGAAAGATCGATAGATTTACAGTTCGATGGATCGGTAGTCTATAAGGACAAAGACAGACCCATCGAGAGACAAATGGATAGTGCATAGGTAGATAGATGGATGTATAGATAAGTACATGGAGCGACAGGTATCTAGACGGATAGATATATCAATCAACAATTTGCAAAGCACGAGCCTACCCGGCTGTGGCTTCGTGAACACACACAACGCAGAAATTGCAATGCCCACGATGCTATCTCACACAGTTTCTTTGCAACGACTGTTCTCAATATCAAAACGCCAAGTTTATGGTTAAGGGACCTTAATCCAGCAAAAACACTGCGGGAGGTTTGACACCTTGTTTTTTCCGCAACCTAAGCCTACAGCATGCCCTAAACCCTAAACCAGAGCAGTACAACGTCTGCCAAGCCGATGATGAGTTCCTAGAGATGCACCGCTAGCCCATGGCTCGATCATCGGAAATATGCTTCGTAGGGTCTAGGGTTTAGGGGTTTGGGGTTCAGGGTTTTAGAGTTTAGGGTTCAGGCTTGTAGAGTTTTCAAGGGCATTGCAGGACAGATGTACTTTCTTCACAAATCCCCCCAAAAAGATCGTGGTATAGGATATACAACCCAAGATTCACAGGTAGGCCCCTGCAATCATGAATAACCTAAACCCAAAACTCTCAACCTTAAACCCAAATGCCAAAACCTGAATATTTCCTAAGCCCTGAACCCCAAATAACCTACCTTTTCAATGATGTATATATCAGGAAATTACAATAGGGAACCCTAGCAAAGTAGGTTCTTTAGGGTCCAGATGAACCCCAGGGCTCTGCGAGAACTTCTCGGAAGACCTTCAACATCCTTCAGTGTTAAGCCTTGAAGCCAACCCGAGGCCTCTAAATACCAGGGTTTTGGGTGTAATGTAGGGGCCTAAATATTTAACAATACTATTTGGGTGGGGGGGGGTTCTTTACTATGATTTTAGTATGCTGGGCCCCAATATCCTATTCCAGAGTTATCAAGGCCGATATATTATGTAAATTCCAGGGTTCGGTCAGTATATAGGGTTTAGTTCTTCTAGGGGTTGTTTACGGTTTTAGGATTTGAGTTTTCGGATTACGAGTTTAGAATTTAGTACACTTAACAGCACCATACACATACACACAAGCTTTATGTAGCAGACACGCTCCTTCGAAGGGTCGCGGATGAAGCAGACCCGTACTCCAAACCTTGAGCTCCGAAGCAAGAATCCTATGCTCCGGTTTTAGGCATTGCGCAATTTAGGGTTTAGGCCCTGTGGGGATTGCTTAATTTGGGTAAAGATCAAGGCCCCGACTGAGTTGTCTTGAGCCCTGCTGCGGTGAGTTTGAAAATGATGGCCGCGAGATGGAAGGGCCCTCGGAAGTCTGAACACGCCGTGATGGCGAACCCGCAAACGTAAAGCAAAAAGGAGCCCGCTCCATGTTCACCATGTCTCTCAACTCAAACCCTAAACCCCTAAACTCTTTTTGCTGAGTGTTGGACATGCATGCGCGTGCACTCATTAGGGTCCGAACTGCTTCCCGAAAAACTTTAAACTCCAAACCAATTTAAGGCTTTTACAGGGTTTTGCCTTTAGGGAGCGTTTGCTGGGTTTCGGCTCGGAGGCTTTCGACCTTCTGTGCTTGGCTACTTTTGTCTGGCTACTATAGTACCACGGTATAGATGTAGATATAGATATGCCGCCTCGTGTCATTGCATTGTGATTCCGACTTTTTTGCAGCAGCTTTAGAAGTTGAATACGTAGACTTTGATCGTTTAGGGGCTGGTAGGTATACGGGGTTAGCGATTCGCTGCCCTCCAAAACCCTTGGCCGGCATGCTTAAGTGGACTTCGCGATGAAATCCGTGGTGCAGGGAGAGTTTTGAACTTTCGAGGTAGTGGATGGTGGAGCAGAGCCAAGACTAGTTGCCGCATTGCCTTAGACTTAGGGTATGGCTCTGAAATATGTGCTTGCGGGCTTCATGCTTCGGCTCCTGTCGAATTCCCATCATGTCAGCCTCTCGTCTACAGCCTAAACCGTGATCCTGACAGATGACCGACATTGGGTTCATTGCGACACTCCTCAGGAACCCAGCATTCCTGTGATTACCATCCTTTAGGGCTCCATGTGCGTATTCAGCATATGCACAAGCTTGAAAGTGATTCCGATATAGCTACTTTCAGGCTTAAGTATATTCTAGATGGATACCATGGACCCTATATACTACCCTAAACCCCTAGCTATATTATATAGGGTTCCTGTAACGGTTCCTTTAGTAGAGGAGCCGTTGAAGGAACCCTGTATAACATAGCACATAGACCTAAAGGGACACTATATGTAAAAAGCCTTACCCTTAAAGGAGCCCTTGAAGCGACCCAATATAATGTAGCTATATACTAGTATTCAGGAACTCTCGGGATCGGAGATAGTTCTCCCACGCACACGCTGTTGCCGAGGCCGGGCCTTCGCCATGTGCTGCCGACGTGTATTGTTTAGGTCTCCCAGTGGGCATTTTTCCCACTTTTGGTGGCCTATAAAATCTACCCAATGCCAGACAGGGAACCCTCTTCTGTTCCTAGGATTTCTTGGTGATTTTGGATCCTAGTTATGCCCCCAACTACGCACCACACCTCAAACCTGAGGCCTCGTACCACCCTACCGCCCGGAAAGGCTACGAAACCCTGAGTATGGGTATGTTTTGGGTACAGCCCCCATACAGTAAGAGTCTATAATAGGGCTTCTATTAAGGTCCTAATATATCTATATTATGAATACTATTCAACTATTACTGAGTGGGGGCCGTACCTAAGGTATGTTTGTTTCGGAGCTGGGGCTTTAGGGCTCGAGCTAGCAGCCCGAATTTAAATGCGAAAGCTTGGGCCCAACAAATGAAGCAAACCGGAAAAGGCCCGAGTCTCGAAGAAGATGTAACGAACAAGCCGATGCCAAAGAGTCGCATAGCCGCAGACCCCAGCCAACTGAAGCTCACCAATCCCGATACCCGGTAAGAAGCTTGCTATGCGCAGTCCCCCAACCCTGGTAATTTGAGTTTAGGTTTTAGGGTTTGATCCAGTCCCAAAACCCCAATCCTTACGGTTGATGATATAAATCCCGCATCACCCAAAATAAGGAATATACCATAATTCCCATAGTTTTGGGTCCGTAAGGTAATGCAGGTTTTTTATCATCAACCGTAGGACTCTTGAACTCGACCGTTTAGTCCGACGCCGCTTGCTCATTCCTGCGAGGAGCTCAGGTCTCACACATGGTAGCCAACAACGACCAAACCGTAAGCCCTACGGCTGATGGACAAAATCCTGCATGACCCATAATAAGGAATCTATGGAAATTATGGTATATTCCTTATTATGGGTCATGCAGGATTTCTATCATCAACCGTATGCAAAGGAGACGGATGAAGGCTCCGGCCGTAGCCTGGCGATGAGGATGCGATATTCTTCGTGCTAGGATGGAGTCCTTATAACATAGTCTTACTCCGTCGACTTAGTTTAATGAAGGCCCCAAGTTAACTTGAGTGATGACTCCTTGAAGCCAGACTGACTAGCTACGAATAGGGCTACAAACATAGTGCTTCGGGCCACAAGCCACCTTGTCTGCCGTAACTTTATTTCCAAGCCAGCATGTGTGTATATGCCTGTATAAATATGTATATATATATATATATACACATGCAGCTAGTCTGTATGTACTTCTAGTATGAGGATGAATCATCTCTGCCCTTATACTACAGTTATTACTATTATTACCATTGCCATTATTGTTATTATTATTGTTATTATTATTATTACTATTATTATTACCATTTCCTTCTTGTGCATAAGGCGTCTAGAAAGCTTTACTAGGTAACTAGATGCACCATAGCAACCTCAACAGACCCGGACTTGACTTCATGTTGCTGGAATCGCCACTGGCTGTCCAGATGGTCGAACCATGTGGGCGGCTCAGTTTTCGCGGTTCATGGAGGGTACTGAACCCTATCCGTGAAACCCCAACCCGAAACAGCACCACGCCATAGCCTCGACCAAGAATTCAAGCTTAGCCATGTGCAGGGAGAAGACTATAAGATGCCCCGAAGCGCTGGATATTGCAGTGCTGTTGAGTTCCCTTCAGGGGGAATAGAACTAAGTACATGTTTGTGTTCCGGGTTCCCTGAAGGCAAACTTTGATATGTGATTCCCTGGCTGTCTGGAAGGTTACAAACCCCTACCCTTGCCACTAGCACTATCACTACCCCTACCGCGACCGCTACTGCTACCGTTACCGCTCTCGCTGCCACTGCCACTACCACTATCACTACCTCTTCCACTACTACCACAGCTACTAACACCACTACTACTACTTCGACGACTACTACTACTCTTTCTAGATTCTACACCCCAAAGTTTGGAGCGCCAGGATAAGGTTCCACGTACGCTTTACTCTGATTCGAAGCTCAAGATCTGCTCCTTACGCATGCCGAGACTGGCAGCTGTAGGAAGCTCCAACTTTCCTTTGCAGGCGATGCGCTCCGGCGGCGCCCCGGGGAGCAATCATGCTACTTGCCTTTGCAGCACCAAAGTAGGGGCTTCAAGGGTTTAGGGTTTAGGTTAAGGGCTTCATGTCCAAATGCTAGACCCCAACCCCCGAACCTCTGAACGTTCGTTGTCAGAGGGGTCTGAGAACCGGGGTCCAAGGATTTGAGATTAGGTTAGTTTTATGGGACCGGGGACCAGGGTTCAGGATTTAGGAGTTGCTTCTAGGGGTTATGCGCTACAGGTTTAGGGAATAGGGGTTATGGTTCAAGGTTCTTGGCTAAGGCTTCGAAAGATGGTCATAACAGGGTTCAGGATTCAGGGATTACTGGTCGTCCCAAGCTCACTACACAATAGAGGTTATAACGCACTAAAATGGGGCCATGCGCTTAAAACAGTCGGTTTTTCGGATCCACTGGTACACCCTAAGCCCTATAAACCTTGAAAGCCCATACTGTTGATGATAAAAATCCTGCATTACCCAAAATAGGGAACATACGATACTTCCCATAGTTTAGGGTCCTTAAGGTGATGCAGGATTTCTATTATCAACCCTGGCAGCCCTAGCAGGTTTGAAGGTGGATTGGGAGCTTCTGACTGTTCTGGGACCCGGAGTAGGCCCTTCTTTCCTTTTTTAGAGTTTGGGTTCCCTTATGACCCCTTTAAACCAAAAAGGGCACCCTGTTTATTCCTAGGTTACTCTTAGGTCTGGTGTTAGGTGTTTGTAGCACTAGCAATAGCATACTCATATCCTTATAATAGTAATAGTCATCTTAATAGCGTACTCATGCTCATAATAGGAATGGTCATAGTAATAGCATTCTACTATATGCACCCATAATACTCGTAGTAGAAATCGTAACATTGATGGTATAAGTAATAGTAGCTATAGTGAATAGGAATAGTTACTGGTAGCCCCTCTTAGTGATTGCACCGGCGTGCGGGAGCTGGAGAGCTTGGGCCTCCAGCTCGACAGCTTCAATGTTTAAGAGTTTATGTTTTTAGGGTTTTGGGCTTGCTTGTATATATATATATATATATATATACACATACATACACACACATACATATGCATATGTGTGTGTATAGAGTCTAGGGCTCAGGATCTAGGGTTTACCTTAACCCTGAAGAACCTACCTGTTTTGGGTTCCATATTTCCTTAAAAAGGTAGGTCCTTCAGGGTTAAGGTAGGGTCTAGGGTTTGTCTATCGGTGATACGTTGTTTTTGTGAAGCGTATTGCTCCCTGGCTGGCTGCTTAGCCTAAATCCTAAACCCTGAACCCTAACCCCTGGATCCAAAAACCTATTGTTTTAGGTGTTAGACCCTCTAGTTAAGGGGTCATAACCTACTATTTTGTAGGGTTTGGGGATACAGGTAAAACCTTAAACCCTAAACCCTCAAGCCTTAAAGTCTAAACCCCAAAAGGGCCCTCGAGTTTCAGGCGGCGCTGGCAAAGTGGACTCAGCGTCTGTCTCGGCTGGCTGCGGCCGGCAGGTGGCAGCAGGCATGCTCGAGGAGCAATTTTGGGGTCCTTATAATATGGATCCTACTACGTAGGATACTATATTAGGGTCCCCTATTTTCGGAAACCCCCATAGGGAAACCGAAAGAATTATCGAAATTGGTGCCTAGGGATCGTTATACGGTTCTTTCTCACTCTACATTAATGCCACAGAACTCTTGTATTCCATTTGTTAAGCAAGTACGAAACGTTTCACATGAGTGTTCACGAATGATTCGAACACAAGATGCCATGTCGCCAAGTCGAAAACTTACGGTTTGGGGTCATGCTGGTTAAAGCCCCATGAACCCGCAGCCCTAATCCAAAAGTCGTGTTTGGCTGCATAAGCTTGAGAGCGCATCTCCCTATCTCGCCAAGAGGATGCCACGAACCCAAAGCCACTAAACCCTGCACCCTAAACCCAACACCCTTACACCCTCAACCCTACACCCTAAACCCCCTAAACCCCCTAAGCCCTACACCCAAAATCCAAAAACCCTAAACCCTAAACCCCTAAACTCTAAACCCAAAGCCTCTGAGCCATAGACCCGAAGCCCTCCACGCCTCCCCCAAAGCCTACACCCCTGCTGGACTCCTCCCCCTCCTCCCCCTAGCTGGACCCCAAATAACCTAGATTTGGGGTTTAGGGTTTAGGTTTTACGGACTTCTGTATTAAAAGAGGAGGGTTTTATGGGGCTCCGGCAAAACCCTAAACCCCTAAACCCTAAAGCCTAAACCCCTAAACCCCTAAGCCCTAAACCCTAAACCCTAAACCCCTAAACCCCTAAACCCTAAACCCTAAACCCTAAACCCTAAACCCTAAACCCCTAAACCCCTAAACCCCTAAACCCCTAAACCCCTAAACCCCTAAACCCCCTAAACCCTAAACCCCTAAACCCCTAAACCCTAAACCCTAAACCCTAAACCCCTAAACCCCTAAACCCTAAACCCTAAACCCCTAAACCCTAAACCCCTAAACCCCTAAACCCCTAAACCCTAAACCCTAAACCCTAAAAACCCTAAACCTGCAATCTCCTCCTCGTCCCCCTCCTCCGGCGCAGGGTCTGGGCTCCGGTTTGACATCTAGGACCCAGAGTAGGCCCTTATTCCCTTTTTAAGGGTTCAGGTTGCCTTATAACCCCCTTTAAACCAAAAAGGGCACCCTGTTTATTCCGAGGTCACTCTGAGGTCTAGTTGGGGTGTTCAACTTTTACAGGGTTTAGGGGGGCTTTTGGGGTTGAGGGTTCACAGGGTTGCGGGTTTAGGGTCGAGCGCTGGATCATCACCTCTGCCAGTCGTAGATTCTCCGGAAGACTAGACACCCCGTAGGTATTTGTTTACACTTAACGATACCTTAGCTCAACTTGCTGAGTATTCTTCCAGCAAGATATCTTATTTCCAGAAGATGTCCAGGTCCCTTTGGTTTCGACACTGCACTTTGTCGCTATGCCGGCAGACCCAAAGGCTCCATGTACCTGTATAGTAGCTATACTTAGGCCTTAAAGGGGTCCCTATATAGGTACTTTAAGTATCTACTATGTGGGTACATGGAGCATTAGGCAGATTCATGGGCAACATAGAGGTTGCAGCATCCCAGTCAACACTGGCTGACACCACCACCAGCGGCATTGCCCAAAGGCATAAACTCCAAGCCCCCAAACAGCATATATATATATACATACATACATACATATGTATATATATATATATATACATTGGCTACAAAGTACCTAAATAGGGATTACTTTGAGGCCAGTATAGTTACTACTTGAGTACATGCACCCTTTGGGATAGTTCCACAATGCCATTTGTGAAGGGACACCTCGCCAGGCAGGTCTTACACCTGTCAATCAAAGGAGTGCTTTACTAGGGAAGGTTCACGGGGAGTTGGACAGTGCAGGGGATTCAGCTTCAGGGCAGGGTTAATGTAGTTCTGTTGAGCAGCTAACCCAAAACCCTAAACCCATCATATGTCCCCAAAGCTCTGTAATTTGGAAGTGCACCTTGCCAACAAAATAGCTCCACATCCATCAGCATCGCTCAATGTACGGGCCTTAATACTTACCTATACTATTTTGGGGGGCTCCTTATCAATTATGGCATATTACCCCCCAAACCCTATTCGAAATATTAAGGACACTACATTATGGCGGCTGGCATCAGCCATGGCCTGAAACCTTCAAGCCGCCAGGGTTTCGGTTTAGGTTTCTTCGGGCGCAGAGGTTGGGACCATGACCCCAAGCCAAAAGCCCCAAACCCTAGACCCCTAAACCCCAAACCCCTAAATCCCTCAGCCTTACATCTCAAAACCCCTAAACCCCTAAGCTAAACCCCTAAACCCTCAACTCTAAACCCCAAACCCCCACCTGGACCCTAAAGAACCTACAGTCTTAGGGTTCCCTATTATGATCTCCTTATATAGGTTTATAAAACGGTAGGTTGCTTGGGGTTAAGGTAAACCCCACACCCCTAAACCCTAATCAAACCCGAATCCTTAAGCCCTAATCAAACCCTAAACCGCAATCAAACCCTAATCCCCAGACCCTAAAACCCTAAAACCCGTAGACCCTAAACCTTTAAACCCTAAAACCCCAAACCCTAAAACCCTAATCCCTAAACCCCAACCCCCTCAAACCCTAAACTGCCCGAAGCAATTATGAGTATGGTTACCTTATTCATAACCCCAGTTACTAAGTCCCATGATCCTGTAAGTAAACCCCAAACCCCTCAACCCCGACCTGCCCGAAGCCCCTTTAAAGGAAGCCTTATATGATGAACTCTATACTAGATCCACTTAAAGGAGCCCTAGGTAGATCCCTTTAAAGGTGCCCTAAACTGCGCGAAGCAGGCTCTGGCGGACTTGAGGGAACTCTGTCACTTAGACGGACTGCAGCTCGGTTCTGCACACGGGGTTTAGGGTTTAAGGCTCAAGGTTTATACAGGGTTTAGGGTTTAGGGTCTAGGGTTTAGGGTTTAGGGTTTAGTGTTTAGGGTTTAAGGTTTAGGGTTTAGGGTCTAGGGTCTAGGGTTTAGGGTACTGTTGCTGGTTTGGGGTTCAGGGTTTAGTGTTGAAAGGGCTTGGGGCTGGGGCTTTGGGTTTAGGGCTTTGGCTGTGCGTGATTGTATTTTTTCACGATTCCTGGCTGTAGTGTTATCATGACATTGAAACCATTATGCATTCTGTTACAGGCATGGACTCAACGGCTCAGCCGCTCGCATCACTGGAAAGATGGATCAGATACACGCAGGTCGAGCTCATCGCCGTTCGTTCCGACTTGATGCAACAACGAGTCGAAGAAGCCTCTGGCCTTCGCGAGCAGCCTCCTCTCCCTACCGCTTTCCGGCGCAGCCGCCTCAACCCTGCAGGAAACGCCAAGGAGAGACCCCGGGGCGGTGCACCTGGACGCGCCAGTGGATCTCCTGTCAATACGAACACTGTCCATCATGATGCATGCTGCTCCATACCCGACTCTTGGGTTCAAGTTTTTGTTTAAGATTAATGGTTTGATCAAAGGCTTGAAGGTGTAGTGGCTGTCGTAAGAAACACAACACCCGTCAGTCCCACAGACTTTAAAGCATGGCCTGAGCGACAGATCGTAAGCCACCCTATACCTGTAGCCCCACACCCCAGAAAATCGTAGGTCTTCGGATCCACAGACTTCAGCACGATTGCTGAACCGTAAATCCTAAACACTAAAGCTATGGGGCAGTTTCCGAAAATAGGGGACCCTAATCTAGCACCCTAAATAGTAGGATCTTTGTTATAAGGACCCCAAAATAAGTTACCTCGAATATCCGGACACTCCCATGTAGTGTTGAGGGGTTTATAGGGTTCAGTTTTCATGGGCTTGCTAAACACGTGTTCCTGCCACGTGTTCGCAGCTGTGCAGTTGCTTTGTTGAGGTTATGGTTTCTTTCACAGGGATGGCCCAGACTGTATGTGTTGGCTCACCTTTCATCTTAAAGGAAGAGCTCTAAACACGACTTCCTAAACCCTAAACCCCAAACCGAACCCTCCTGATGCCTGCAGCCTAAACCTTAAACCCTAAACCCTACACCCTAAACCCAAAATCCTAAAACCCAAAACCCCTAAACCCAAAACCCTAAACCCAAAACCCTAAACCCCTAAACTGAACCTTCCTTCCTAATGCTTGCAGCCCTGAAGCCTATAGCTGCAAGTCCTAAGTCGTCGATCTCCCAGTTCCCCAAGGTCGGCTGAGGGGTTTTAGGGTTTTAGGGTTTAGGGTTTTAGGGTTTTAGGGTTTAGGGGCTTTAGGGTTTAGGGTTTGAGGGTTTTAGGGTTTGAGGGTTTTAGGGGTTTAGGGTTTAGGGTTTAAGGGTTTAGGGGCTTGAGGGTTTAGGGTTTAACGGTTTTAGGGCTTCAGGGTTTTAGGGTTTTAGGGGTTTAGGGTTTTAGGGTTTTAGGATTTTTGGGTTTAGGGTTAAAGGGTTTTAGGGTCTAGGATTTAAGGTTTAGGGTTTAAGGGTTTCAGGGTTTAGGGGTTTTAGGGTTTAGGGGCTTTAGGGTTTAAGGGTTTTAGGGTTTAGGGCTTAAGGGTTTAACGGTTTTAGGGTGAAGGATTAAAGAGGCTCATACCCTACCCCTTTCTCAGGATGGCCAGTTTTATGGGTAGTAGGGTCTGTTCTATAGAGAAGTAGAGACACTAACACTAGGGGTAAGAGATGAGCCTACACGTACATAATTAGCAATTCGAAAGTCATCCCAACTCCTAGCCAGGCTTGCTGCTGGCAAATAAAACAGATGGTGAGATAGATACGCGCATTCGCACGCAAAACGTGTTATGAGTACAGTTGTGCATACACGTATGTACATACAGTTATATCATGCGACCTCCACATACACTTGTATAAAGCACAGACACATACATGTGTAGACAGAAGAAGCAGGAACTTTGCAGAACATGGTACATCCAAAGCAGCAGAGGCAGCCCCACATCATGCCTTTCAGCGCCGGGGGCCCATGCCTGCCGCACTTGCCCATAGACTCCCAAACCCTTCGCTTAACGACTATAACGCATCGTTGCCATGATTTAAGGCATTTTCATTTATGCAAGGATATCGGATGCCTTGTAAACTAATTACACGAGATCACCTGAATAATAGTGCTCCTACCTTGTAGGTATAGATGTCCGGTAGGTTTAGGGTTTATTTATCGGTTAGAGTTGCAGAAGCCCTTCATTGCGAGATCCTGGCCTGAGCCCTGAACTCCTAACCCGTTCAGAGGGGATGAGGGCTGGTTGAGAGGATGGTATCGGGGCCCCTCATTCCCTTTACTTAGGGTTCAGCTTCCCTTATAAGCCCCTTTAAACCAAAAAGGGCACTTTCTTTTTATTCCCAGGTTACTCTTGGGTCTAGTTAGCAAGTAGCCAAGTAGTTTGAACATCTTTTCTACCTGCCCTCCTCGGGGCCGCCACAATGTGCGAGCTTGCAAGCCCAACCCATAAATCCGAAGCTCCCCGGTCCTCCAAAGAGCACCGCGATCCTGCTTTCACGGATTTCAATCTTTCAGTGCATGAGGGCTCTAGGTAGAATAGGCTTCTGAGGTACATGTACTGTGAATGTTAATAAAAGACTCGCTCCGGCTCCGGAGCGGCGGGCGCAGCTTGTGGCCCAGATGAAGATACACAAGTTGACCGTACTCGTCGAAGGATACCACAGATAGAAACCCGGAGGCTCCACATATACTACTATTATGGAATTAGGCACCAGAAACCTTTAAGAGGATTGTCGTTTCGGGCCAAATTCCATAATGCTGGTAGGGGAAAGAAACTTAGAAAAACCCTTTAGCAGAGGTGTGTCTGCGAGCCTGCGAAACAGGAAAGCAGTGGCCCGGAGTGCTGTCAACGCCCCGGCAGTTTAGGGTTTAGGGGCAGGTTAAGGGTTTAGGTTCTGGGGTTTAGGGTTTCGTCACTCTGAAGGGTCATCCTCGTAGTGGTAAGTAATAATTTTTCAAAGTCACACCTCAAAGAACCCTTGGGCACCCTACTTTTGGATTTTTCCTAAAGCTTAAACCCGTTGGTTCTCAATAACCCCTTACCCTAGGACTCCAAGGTCTCATACATAAAGGCTTTTGGGCCCAAAGACCATTCCATATACGGCTTTTTGGGTTATTTTGATGCCCAGGCTTACCCCGTTGACCCTACACCCTTGAGCTCTGACGGTGAGCGGTTGGTTCGGGTGTTAGCTTGTGGTAGGTCTTATGACACATGCATGCTTTGTTTGCACAGCCAAACCCCATGGATCCAGCAGAATTCGTATTCCGCCCAAAGGCTCCATGTACCCAGTGAGTAGAAACTGAAGCCTTCAAGGGGATCCTATAAATAAAGGCCTAAGTATTTACTATCTGGGTACATGGAGCCTTAGGGTCAGGGCTTTCGGCCATGTAGCGCTACAAAGTCCATGAGCCTGTGGAGTACAGGAAGTGGGAGGGCTTTTCTTGGATCTATAGGGTAACCCAGAGGGTCCAAGTTCCCACATAGTAATTAGGGATGTAGGTCCCAAAATCGATACCCTGAATGGCTTCTGGACCTTGAAACGGTACTTGGACCCTTAGGGTAAAGGGCAAGACGGGGTTCCAGGGCGCAGTATGTCTGGTCCGGATACACGGACCCTCGTAACGCTAAGGTGGTTTTGGCTTACTTTCCCCTAAACCCTAAACCCTAAACCCATTCATGCAGCCCAAGTTTGAGTGGATGCCTTCGACTTGCCGAGTTTTTTTGGGTTGTGTAGGGTTCCTTTAAATCGGATCTTCTTGGATCTATAAGGGATCTATACTTGGAGGGTCGGGGGACTTAGTAATTGGTTCTTTTGGGGACTTATAAGTACCATAACCCCAATTAAGGTCCCTTTTAGGGTACTTATAAGTCTACTTACTAACTACTTACTAAGTCCCCCGACCCTCCAAGTAGGGTTTAGGGTTTAGGGTGTTTCGGTTTTGGGGGTTCACGGTTTAGGCACCTGGCAACCCATCGCTGCGAGGTCCGGTCTGCTCCAGATGTGGGATCGAGGAAGGGGCTGTGCTTCAAGCTCCCTTTAAGGGCTCTTAGGACATAGTAAGTAGGGTTCCTTTAAAGTGATCTATAATTGGGCTACTATATATAAGGGTTTTTTAGGGGGTTAGGGTTTAGGGATTTAGAATGGGTTGTCTAACGGTTCCTGTTAAATGCGCTCTAAGGGTTCTAGACAGGGCCTTTCGGGTTCGAGGATCGAGTTACCAGTTCCCTTTCAAGTCTCCATATTAGGGTTTAGGGTTTAGGGTTTAGGGTTACCCTAAGTTGGTTTTGAGGGTTCACTTGAGTAGTTCCTTTTAGAGCTCTAGAAGGGTTCTACAAGCAGGTTTTGGAGTTCACCTTGACAGTTCAGTTCATGCGCTACAAGGGTGCCATACAAGCGGAAAATGGGATTTTTGAGTTGAGAGATTCGGGCCTCGGGGGTCAGTTACCCTAAGGCTCCATGTACCCGTATAGTATATACTAAGGCCTTAAAGTACCTATATAGGGGCCCCTTTACTTGTAGGGTTTAAGTATCTACTATGAAGGTACATGGAGCCTTGGGCTACCATCAGACCCTCAATCTCAGCACCCCCGAAAGCTTAGACAAATGACTGCAGTCTTCAGAGGTCTCTGTAAAAGAAGCTGCGCAAAGGCTGCTGGTGGTAGCCTCTGCATAAAGGGTTCCTTACAGGGTACTATACCGGTACTTCGGGGATTGGGGCTTAGGTAGTTCACAGTGTTACCCTCTTCGCTCGAATCCTCACATGAAGACTCATGGATACTTGTAGGTATGGAGGTATAACCATGGTAGCTGCAATCCCTAGGGTCCATGCCCAAATAGTATATACTTGGGCCTTAAAGTACCCCTTTATAGGCACATTGGGCCCAAAGTATATACTATTTGGGCACATGGACCCTTAGGGAATAGTACTGCAGCTTTCAACTTTAAGGATTCGTAAGAGCTTTCATAGGTCGCGTTTTTTGTTAACTCTGGACAGGTTGTTCTAGGCGTGATCCCTCAAGACTGCATGCGCCTCTGCACCATTGATGTAGGAAATTGACCAATGATCCTAAATTTTAAGCCCTAAATCTGAACCGTGCAAGACCAGAATCAAACCCAACCGTATAATTACCTCGACGCTCACATCAGGATTTCATGTAGATGCCCTGGCCTACAATGCCGGGGGTCTCGGTCGGGCCTACAGAGTCTGCCTTGAGTTTCTGGATTTGCCGTTTAAGCTCCTGACCCTCGTCGAACCTAATCTAAAACTTTGAGCGGGCTCAAGATGCAGTCCGAACTGGGTGCCTTGGGCATTACATAGGGGTTTAGGGATGGTTTAGGGTTTCGGGTGCGGAATTCTGGGAAGCAGCGATATCTGTAGGGTCGGGTTTTGGAGTTTGGTTCGGAGGTTCGGGGAGTGGGCTTCTGGTTCGTGTTCGGTGGAAGGTAGGGTTTGGAGTTTAAATTATGGATCAGGCCCTTACTGTAATTTGCGCCGGGGCTGTGAGACTTTGAAATTTACGAGAGTGTTGCATCACTATAAGGTCCCTCTTTTGCTTACTAGAAGCTGGTGACCTATAGCTAGTGTTTATAGTTCTGAAGGATACCCTGGGCATCAAGATAGCCCAAAAGCCTTGCATAGTATGATCTTTGGGCTCAAAAGCCTTAATACATGAGTCCTTAGATGCCTAGAAGGATAGAGTTGCTAGAGAGTTTAAGGCGTGTGCAGGCTGATACATGCATGTAAAGCCTGCATTGCATCCGCTGCTGATTTACAACGATCATCAGCAGTGTGTACCCTTATGTTGGGGGGCAGACATCGTGACAACGGCCGAGATTGCTTCCCGCGATGACCGTTCGTGTGGAGGCATGTATCAGGCAGCAGTATACAGCAACAGTTTGGGCACCGCAATGCTTGCATCCAGACAAATCCGTCCGCAGCCTATGAATGTCCATGAAGTTGTTTAAGGCACATTAAATGTCATTTGTGTTTTACGAGGACCTATAGTAGGCCCTTATTCCCTTTTTTAGGGTTCAGGTTCCCTTAGAAGCCCCTTTAAACCAAAAAGGGCACCCTTTTTATTACTAGGCTGCTCTTGGGTCTAGTTTAAGAAAGATGGTAAACGCATGCTCAGAAGACGCTGTGCCGTGAGGTGGGTCTGAAAACCGTCCTCGAAACCGACGATTGGGCCGGAGCCAAAGTTTTAAGGTGGCTTTCACGGGTGCAGAGCTTCTAGGATTTAGGGGTTTAGGATGTAAGGCGTTGATGGTTATAGGGTTCAGGGGTTTAGGGGCTTAGTTTGTAGGGAGTTTGAGGTTTAGCAGGTTTAGGCTTAGGGGCTTTGGGGTTCTTGGTGTCATAGCCGCTCAAGCTTCCAATATTTGGGGAAGGTCTCCCTGAGGCTCCAAAACCCCTTAATTAAGGAATATACCTTAAATTGTGATAGGAGCCCTAATATGATTTAAGGTATATTCCTTAATTAAGGGGTTTTGGAAGGTCTGGGAAGCTTCCTTAGATGGGAGTTTTCGAAAATTAGGGGTACCGTATTATGGGGTCCTTATAGTAAGGATACAACTAGATGGGGTACTATATATGGGTGGTTGTCAAAATTATGGTCCCTTTTTGGGTCCTTATTATGGTACGGCACCTACTATTTAGGGTACCCAGAAAGGGACCCTAATTTTGACAACCACCCATATGAGGGTCCCCTATTTTCGGAAACCACCAGATACGAAACCCTTTAAGGCCGAAGTATGGTGGATGATAGAAATCCTGCATTAGCCATAAGAAGGAATATGCCATAATTCCCATAGTTTGAGGTTCTTAAGGTAATGCAGGATTTATATCATCAACAGTATGTAGGTGCGTGGAGCCTTAGGGTCAGCGTCCCGACCCTGAGGTGCAGGAGTCCGAGGTTAGGGGTTTAGGGTGTGGGGTTTAGGGGTTCGGGTTTAGGGTTTGGGGTTTAGGGGTTTTAGGGTTTAGGGGTTAAGGGTTTAGGGGTTCCTGTAAGGGTACCATAATGTTCTTTTAAGGGTGCTATAAGGGTTCCTTTAGGCGTACTGTAAGGGTACCTTTAAGGGCACTTTAACGGTTCCTTTATGGGTACTTTAAGGGTTAACGGCTTAAGGCAGAGACATAGCTTTCGACTGGCGGAGCTTACATGTTGCTTATACTGCCAGGTAGGTGTTGGGTCCAACTGCTCGGGTTTAGGAGTTTGTGGTTTGGGGCTGGGTTTAGGGTTTAAACCCTGGGTTCCGAAACCCTGACTGAAGAGGGTTAGCTTCATTGCTGCATTGGGGTGGGGGTTCAAATTTGGGTTGAATCTGAATCCTAGGTCCATGTTGAGGGACACTCCCTAACCCTTTAGCCCTAAACCGCACTTCCTGGAAGTATTTTGTTTCCTATGTGTCGCATTTCGCATGGTTTTTGCGGTGTTTTTGCCAACTTTCGACTTTTGCTGAGGCTTTCGCGAGGTCACTGTGCCAACTCTACAGGGCCGGCTACTGCGCCGGCTACAATGCCGGCTACTCCATCGGCTTCGACGAGGCCTTGTCCTGCTATTGCAGTACATCACACCGGTCGTGCCCACCGAGTTCGTCCTATCCCCGAAGTATTACGACGGCAGGATGATCCCAGACCTTCCAAAATCCCTTGATTAAGGAAAATAGCTTAAATTATAGTAGGATCCCTATTGTAATTTAAGGTATATCCCTTAATTAAGGGAATTTGGAAGGTCTGGGATCGTCGGGTAGGGCTTCCCCAAGATCCTTCGCAAGACCCCGGGACCGACCGGATGGAGAGTTCACCCTACACCGACTACCCAAAGACTTCAATACCCCTTAGTGAAGGAATATACCTTACAAGTTCTAGTAGGATCCCGAATATGATGTCAAGGGATATTCAGTATATTCCTTAATTAAGGAATATTGGAGTCTCTGGGTACCCGATGGTGCAACTTAACGTGTTTTACACGTTGCCGACGGCACTACACAAGACTGTTCATTGGTCGCGCCGGGGTGTCCCGCAGTGGACACCGAGGAGGTCATTGCCACGCTGGCATTCCGCCCGTGTACATAGAGAAGAAACCTGGTCAATGTCAACACGCTATCGTGTGATCCCTCCCAGCAATTCTGCCAGGACCATCGCAAACCGGGTACACCTCGTTGCCGCTGGCGAGGTCGTAGCCAAGAGATGCCCATCTGTGCGGGGTAATGGAGATGGCCCCTGATTAGGTTTTTGGGTTATGAGGCTTATAATAGAGTTTAGATGGTATACGTTGTAAGTTGTGTGCACCTTTAAGCCCTGATAAACTCAGGAGCCCCGCAGTATCCGGAAACATACGCTCTGATTCGACAGCATAACGACAGCAAGCAACACCCACGCAACACAGACTGAGGCAACTGCACAGAATATGTAGACCAGGAAGTGAACTATATCTAAACATTGAAGGTTAATCATGTTTCCGCCCCAAAGCAGGCTCTTCAGAGCTGTCTAACTCCGAGTATTTCATAGGCACGGGTGCTCACCACCTTTGACCACATGGTGGAGCGAGGCTGCGCCTGTCCTGGTTCTGAACCCCTTAGGGTTTAGGGCATCCGAAGCCCGGCACCCGAAGCGTTAAATCCTGAACCCCAAACGCCTAAAACCAAAACCCTAAAGCGCGGACCATGCACCCTGATCCCAAAACCGTAACCACCGTACAGAATACAAAAGCCCGCCAGCCCAAAACAGGCCCTAAGGCCACACCCTAAGGCCCAAAATAGCCCAACAGCCCAAAAAGGTGTGGTCTCTGGGCCCAAAAGACTTAAAATATGAGTTCTTAGAGCCTAAGGGTCAGATCCCAAAATCCAGAATCACCTTTGGCCTTTGGCAGGCTTGAAGTCAAAAGGTGCTATACCAAAGCCGTAAGCTGATGTTTCTGGTTTCGAGTTTAAGCCCAAAGGTTCCATGTACCCTTACAGTAGATACTTCGGCCTTTAAGTAGTCCCTATATAGGTACTTTAATGCCTAATAAGTATATGCTATATGGGCACATGAAGCCTTAGGGAAGGGCTTAGGGTTTAGGGTTGAGATTGTCTAGGGTTTCGGGTTTTCAGGGTTGCAGGGTTTCAGGAGGGTTTGGGGTTGAGGGTTTAGGGCTTTAGGGTTTTAGGGTTTACGGTTGAGAGTTTAGGGATGTCCATGAACACCGCAGCCGTCTCATCAATGAGAGCGTGAAAGCGTGTCAGAGTACACACAGCCCATACCTCGCACCCTTATGAAGTATGCTTGTCATCGACATCGTTAATAGTAAACCCTCTAAAGGAATGCTTGTAGGATCCGTTACCGGATTATGGGAAGCTGTTTTCAGGTAATGAAGATAGCCACCTTACTCAAGGAACCTGAAAGCTGCACATGGGAGTTTGTCAAAGTTAGGGCCCCTTTTTGGGTACCTTGAATATTAGGTGCCGTACTCTACTATGAACCCATAAAGGGACCATAATTTTGACAACCACCCACATGGATATCCAAACCTTACACCCTAAACCCAAAAAAACTAAACCATAAACCCCTAAACCCCTAGCCCCTAAACCCTAAACCCCTAAACCTTTGCATCCTGGGCCCCAAGCCTTTAGCCCCACTTCCCAAACCTAAGGCCCAAAAGCTTATATAAATCCGAAAATATTCCTAAACCTTATGCGCCATAAACCCTAAACCCCAAATAACCTTGGGTCCTTAATCCCAAAGGCCGCAGCTTCCCTAGCGTGGAGGTCCTGGATTCCCCCTTCCGAAATCCTATAAAAAAGGATGTACCTGTAGCGATTACTGCTGTAATTTAATGTATATATTCCTTAATCAAGGGATTTTGGACGGTCTGGGTCTTTCAGATTTGACCCCAGAATCTCAGATCCGAAAAGCCTGAGGGAAGAGGGCTCAGGGCGTGGGAGTTTCGGATTTGAGGTTTGGTTAGGGTTTAGGGCTTAGGGGCTTAGGGTTGAGGGTTTAGGGTTTAGGGGTTTAGGATTTAGGGGTTTAGGGTTTAGAGGGTTAGGGGTTTAGGGCTTAGGGGCTTAGGGTTGAGGGTTTGGATTTCGGGTTGGTTAGGGGTTTAGGGGTGCGGGGTTTTTAGGGCCTATAGCAGCTTGTGGTATAGGGTTTAGGGCTCAGGGTCTAAGTTTTGGGTTACTGTTTCGGGTTTGGGTCCTTGGGTTTTCTTGACCTGGAGAAGCGAGACTGGAATTTTGGAGTTATGGATTGAGGGATCGTAAGGAGTTGGCGCTCTTTTTGCCATCATTCCCAGGATGGTTGTCGGCAATTCCTTGTGGAATGCTGTATAACGTAGTCGAAGCGAGGATACCCTGGAGACTATAATCAACGGCCCAACAACTCATTTTGACTCGGCCTTTTTCCTACTTGCCACATGGGTAGTTGTCAGAATTAAGGTCCCTTTTTGGGTACCTTCATTAGTTGCCGTACTTTAACAGGGACCCAAAAAACAACCCTAATTTTGACAACCACCCAAATGTCGATCACAGTGGATGTTGGGCTTCTCAGCGGCAAGACAGTTACGGTGAATGCAGGCGTAGATGAAGAGGTGCGAGCTCTACAACTTCGAGGGCAGATTGCACTTGGAGTGGGAAAGGGAAGATTGGTGAACGTATCCGGACGAATGCTAGATGATTCTTCAACGCTCCAGGATGCCGGTCTTCAGAATGGTGACTCACTGATCTTACATGTGAATACAGTTCAAGTTCTTGCCACTCACTCGGCTTTCGCTGCCATTCTTGGTGATGGGTCTGTCGTGAACTGGGGGTATTATTCTCGTTATGGTGGTGGCAGTAGAGCTGTGCAGCATCAGCTGAAGAATGCCCAGCAGATCCAACACACTGACCGCGCTTTTGCTGTCATTCTCAACAATCGATCTGTCGTGACCTGGGGTGATGCTCGCTCTGGTGGTGACAGCGGAGCTGTGCAGCATAAGTTGAATAATGTGCAGCAAATCCAAGCCTCTGATGGAGCATTTGCTGCGATTCTTGGTGATGGATCGGTCGTGACCTGGGGTGATTCTGAAGATGGTGGTGACTGCAGTGCCGTGCAGGATCAGCTGGTAGACGTCCAGCAGATCCAAGCCTCTAGAGGCGCTTTTGCTGCCATTCTCGGCGATGGATCTGTCGTGACCTGGGGTTCTGCTCTGTTTGGTGGTGACAGCAGTGCTGTGCAGGGTGAGCTGAAGAATGTGCAGCAGATCCAAGCCTCCCGGGGCCCGCATCGCGGTGCCTTTGCTGCCATTCTGGGTGATGGTTCGGTCGTGACCTGGGGCAGTTCTCACGATGGAGGTGACAGCAGGGCTGTCCAGGACCAGCTGAAGAATGTGCGACGGATCCAAGCTGCTGGCCGTGCTTTTGCTGCTGTTGTTGGCAACGGATCGGTCGTTACCTGGGGCCACGTTTACTTTGGTGGTAGCAGTGGTGCTGTGCAGGATCAGCTGAAGACTGTGCAGCAGATCCAAGCCTCTGACGGTGCTTTTGCTGCCAGTCTTGGCGACGGATCTGTCGTTACCTGGGGCGATGCTCGCTTTGGTGGTGACAATGGCTCTGTGCAGCACGAGTTGACCAATGTGCAGCAGATCCAAGCCACAGGGGCGGCTTTCGCTGCCATTCTTGGTGATGGATCTGTCGTGACCTGGGGTGCCGCTGGCGATGGGGGTGACAGTAGCTCTGTGCAGCATCAGCTGAAGCATGTGCAACTGATCCAAGCCTCTTGCTCCGCTTTTGCGGCGATTCTCGACAATGGAGCTGTCGTGACCTGGGGTGCTCCTGACCGTGGTGGTGACAGCCGTGCTGTGCAGGGTGAGCTAAGGAACGTGCAGCAGATCCAAGCCTCTAGCGGCGCTTTTGCTGCCATTCTTGCTGATGGATCAGTGGTGACGTGGGGTCTTGCTGACTGGGGCGGTGACAGCAGTGCTGTACAGGGCGACTTGAAGAACGCAGCAGATGGATGCTTCGAAGGTGACTTTTGCGGAAGCCGGCTACTATAGGGGCCTTTATAATTACCAATACTATTTTGGGTCTAATTATTAATTAAGGCCCCTATATTATGGTGGTCAAAACCATGGGTTTGTTCGACTGGAGATTTCCTAAATTGTCCGCCAAATCCAAAAGCTGGATCGTGTAGCCAAAAGTCTCGAATGCCAAAACCGAGGGCAGCAGGGCAGGGCAGGGCAAGGCATAGGGCAAACCGGAGGCAGACCGGATCTCCAAGGGTAAAATGAGGGACCTTTAATAAGGACCCCTAGGTATATACCCATAATATACCCATTCTGTAGCCCATTACAGGGTAGGGGTCCCCATTAAGGGTCCCTCCTTTTCCCCTTTGAGGATCGCCCCTAGGGTCCAGCTCTCCCCAGCTCCTAAACATTGAAACTTTGCAGATTCGGAGCGCCGCGCACCCGAAACATTAAAACGAGAACGAGAAAAAATGGAATTAACACTTCAGGGCTTAGGGCTGCCCCCTACTCGGTTTTAGGATAGTAGTTATGTAGGTTAGGATTTCGGTGAGTATATGATTATTAAATACTTGGACCCTTGGGGCTATAGGAACAGAGATTGCTTGAGATTGCTTGAAAGCGGATTTGCTCAGGGCGCCGCTGCGCTGGCGAACCCTTAGACCCTAAACCCTTAAACCCTTAAACCCTGAACCCTTACCCCTAAACCCCCAACTTCAAAACCCCAACAACTCGAGGCCGACACAAGAAAAAAACCCGTAAAAACCTAGGCCGTACCCGGGGATCCAGAAACCTACTTTTTTGGGGGGTTAGACCCTCTAATTAAGGGGTCGTAACCTACCATTTTGTAGGGTTTGGGGATACAGGTAAATAGACCCCCTTAAGGAACCCTCATAGATCCCTTGAAAAAAACTCTAAAGGAACCTTCATAGATCCCTTGAAAAAAAATTACAGATCCCTTTAAAGGAATCCTAGGTAGAACCTTTAAACTCTATAGATCCCTTTCAAGGAATCCTAGGTAGAACCTTTCCTAGGCTTCGGATTCCGGGCTTGGGGATCGAGGGTTCGCGATTCACTCGGGTTGGCGGCCTCGTGTTTTAGTACCCTAAACCCCTAACCCCTAAACCCTAAACCCTAAACCCTATTTAGGGTTCACGGGAACAGAGGTCTGGTATGAAGATTCCCGAGGGGTCTCCAGTATGTTTAAAGTGCACAAAGCCTCATCAGACTGCTTTTTCGAGTCTGATTATTCAGGCTTCCCCAGAGAGTCCAAGTACCCAAATAGTACACGTAGGGTTTTAGGTTTCAAAATCCATACACTGAGTGGTTTTTAGGACCTTGAAACCCTACTATTTGGGCACTTGGACCCTTAGGGTTCTGAATCAATTGACCCTATGCTTCCAAGGGGGGCGCTACACCCCTTCAGGACCCGACAAGAACGTCCCCCTGAAGCTCAGGGTAAGTATGAACCGAATGGAGGAAAGGATCCCTATAGTAGTCCCTATACAATCCCCTGATCCATTCCCCTAAGCACCAGGGAGTGATCTGAACCCTGCCGCAGGTGCCACCCCGATAGCCCTGGACTCGAGCTGTAGCACGGCCATGGTTGCAGCGCAGAAAGGACTGGCAGAGTTCCAATCCTTACGCAGCAGGGTTTATGACCTATAGAATGGGCAGACATCGTATGACCTTGACGTGTGAAGCTGTGAGGGCTACTTTTCTGACGACGAAAGATGAAGAGATTTCTACACCCTAGACCCCAAACCCTCAGCCCTACACCCATTTGTGAGACGAGGAGCCTTTCTGGGGGCTCTGAGCGGTGCGTTCGAAGAGCTCGGATCCGGGCCCATGAACCTTCTCCCTAAAGATGCGGCTGCCCATAGAATTTCCCTAAACCCTAAACCCTAAACCCTGAACCCTGAACCCTGAACCCTGAACCCTTAACCCTAATTCTAAAGACATGATTGGTGGCTTAATTACTTAAAGGCCCCCAGGGCCCTGCTGCTGCAACAATCCGGTGTATGTCGGGGCGGAGCCTCGTGTTCAGGACAATCGTTTTGTAGGCGAATATCTTGGGGAGTGGTGTCTAGGAGTATGAGGTACTTGAAACTTACCCTGAGGGTGAATCTTACACTGAAGTATCTGTGTAGAACTCAGATTGCCGGGAAGCTGCTCTTATTACCCACTGAGGCTTCTGTCTAGTGGCACCCAAACCCTTAACCATATGGGTGGTTGTCAAAATTAGGGTCCCTGTTTGGGTCCCTATTATAATACGGCACCTATTTTTTAAGGGTACCCCAAAAGGGACCATAATTTTGACAACTACCCATATAAAGCCTCAAGTGCCTAAAGCTTGCTTGCTTTAGCTGAAGACATATGGGGTCATGGGTAATTACAAGTCTGGTTACGTGTTTTAGAACCTTGTTGTGCCCATCATGCTTGAGGTAAAGGTGCTCCAACCAAGAGGGGTCCATATACACTACTATTATGGAACTAGGCCCTAAGAGACCATGCCCAGTATGGTTTTGGGGACCCTTTTTCCATAATACTCAGAGGTTCATGGGACTTAGTAGCTAGGGTTATAATCAATGCAGCTACACCTATATGTACTTATAATCCCAATTAGGGTACTTAGAACTGCACTTACTAAGTCCCATGAACCTCTAAGTAGTAGTGTGTGAGGACCGTCTGGGTAACCAAGCAGTTTGAAGAGGCCGTGGGGTTTTCGGACCCTCGCAAAACGAGACTCGTCTCGAAGCAACGCTTCAGGGTCCATGTACCATTACAGGGAACTCCAGAAAGTTGGAATATGGTTTCATGGTAGGATACCCTACAATTGACCATAGAAGGGTTATGATAATCATATTCCAACTTTCTGGCTTCTACCTTAAGGGATTAATTCTAGAAGGGTTTTACAGGGTATATGGGGTAGAAGGGTCCATGTACCCAAATAGTTTGTACTTCGGGTCCAATGTACCCATATAGGGAGTACTTTGAGGCCCAAGTAGATACTACATGTGTACATGGACCCTTAGGGAACAGCACTCCTGATCCCAAATTACCAAAACTTCCTTAAGCCAAACCCAACTTGTAAAAACCCGGACATCCTGAAAACGAAACCCTAGAGCCCGACACCCTGATAACCCTCAAGTCCTACTTGGAGGTTCATGGGACTTAGTAAGCACAGTTATAAGTACCCTAATTGGGATTATAAGTACATATACGTGTGGTTGCCTTAATTATAACTCAAGTTACTAAGTCCCATGAACCTCTAAGTGGGTGGCTGTCAAAATTAGGGTCCCTTTGTGGGTACCCTAAATAATAGGTGCCGTATTATCTATTAAGGACACAAAAAGGGGACCCTAATCTTGACAAGCACCCAAGTAGACTCTAGCCCTAGGCTGAAGCCCTGCAACGTGAGCTGCAGGACTGGGCTGGACACAGGTCGTTGAATTCTTTTCCGGCATCCGCAGGCCCTGCACTCCGAGACCGTCTGGGGTTTAGGACGGTTTGGGGGTGATTGGCTGTGCCGGGTGTGGGTTGACAAATCATTGGATACAACACTCAGTGCAAACACATCAGTCTGTCCTTTTGTGTGGATGTGAGTAGTTCTTTTAATTTAGGGTCCCTTTTAGGGTCCTTCGCGAACTACCCATGTATGCACGCTTGGCACACCCTTGCCTGGCAGGGGTGCGATCGATCCCGGCACGGCTGGGTATAACACGGCCATGCGCTCGGAAGCACCCTGAACTGTGAACCCAGTACAGCCCCTTACCGACACCCTCAGTTACCCTTCCTCCCAAGTCCCAAACCCTGAACCGCTGTATCCTAAGCCCGTCAACCCCTTCGTGCTACGGCTAAGCGCAACATAACGACACAAGCACTAAACACTCATCCCCAAACATCAGAAGCTTAAACACTTGTACATAAGCCCTGATAGTACCCCGAAGCCCTGAACCCGATCCCGAAAAATAGTCTAGCCCAAATTCAACATGGGATCGTTGTATGGCATTGTGAACATGATTTTGTTTTCTGCCGATGTTCTTATTGCAAACAGGTTGCTGCATTGGATGCGCCTGTGCGTGAGACATGCATTGTGGCTAATGCTGGTGCTCCTATAGTGAGGGGAAGCAGGTGTTCACATACTCTACAGCAGACCATCCGAAAGGCCCAGGGACAGGGAGAGAGAGCGTGGCTGCTCACCCTGTGTAGTTTTCATTTTCGTTTAGTAGAGTCCTACCTCGCCATCATACAGGTGATCAAAAATACTTACTCTCCGACTCTGGGTAGAGCCTGAATGCCTCACATGCTAAGTTGATCTCAGCATGCGTTCGCGCTGGCGAGTGGGCTGGAGGCTCAGCGTTTTCCCACAGCGGCATCCGTTCTGCTTAAGGGTTCAGGCTTCAGGTTCAGGGTTTAGGGTTCCGGACCCAAAGGCTCCATGTACCTTTATATAGTAGATACTTAAGCCTTACAGGGGTCCCTATATAGGTACTTCAAGGCATAAATATATACTGTATGGGCACATGGAGCCTTAGGGAGAGACAGTGCCTGCTTTCGGATTCGAACGTTTTTGAGCATGGCCTACTTCTGGCGAGTGTCGGAGTCTAGACCCTAAACCATAAGTTATCCAGGTTTGGTCAGAGCTCTGGGCATCTTCTGGTTCTGTTAACCTCACCGAATGATGCCGGTCAAACTAATCTGAAAAGTCGAGCTTCGCGGTTTAGTCTTCAAGGTGGATGGTTCATCTTTTGGCAAGGAGCATGAGTGGTCCCTATATGCATACATTGGGCCCAAAGTATATGCTATTTGGGTACATGGACACTTCGGGGATGTTCCAACTCTCGGGCTTCTACTCTAAGCACTGCAAGGAGAAGGCAGTCAGCCTCTTCGGCGCCATGGAGAGGCCGTGCTGCGATGTGTTGTGGGATAGTTTCCCTAAAACTCTAAGGGCGCATATTGGAAGGCGTTCAGGCCTAAAGACCATGTTATAAAAGGCTTTTGGGCTATTTTGTTTAGGTTTGCCGACATTTTTTTCATAGTGGGAGAGAGGGGGGCGGGAGGTAATGTGAATGAGGCTTGTAAATTGGCAATCTTCCTAAGCTATGCACCATAATCCAAAGAGACGGGGGTGTCCGACTGTCCTGGAGCCTGCGGTTTGTAAATAGGTATTTGATGTAGCCCAAAGGGTCCATGTGCCCAAATAGTATATACTTTGGGCCCAATGTACCCATATAGGGACTAGTTAAGGCCAAAGTATATACTATTGAAGTACATGGACCCTTAGGGTAGGTCATGAGAGTGATGGTGGGTTCAACTCTTGCGCGTGACAAGAAAGCGATGCGTTGTGGGCTTGCTTGTCTTGACGGGGTGGTGGGCGCTTTAATTTAGGGTTCAGCGGCTGCCGCCTAAATCAGGCTTCGTGTGCAGCCCGACATCTTCACCTTCAGTAGCCTCATCACGGGCCTCAAGGCAGTCGGGTTTCTCAAAGATTTTGGGGTTTGGGGTTTGGGGTATAGATCTGTAAAGTACTTATAGCCCAATTGTTGTCTTGTAGGTTTTGAGGTTAAGGGCTTAGCTCCAAATTACAACAAGGCTCGTGCACTTCGAGCACGCCCGCAGGCTCCAGGTTCAAGGTCCACTGAAGCATTTGACTTAGTGAGGCTACGAATGGTCAGTTTAACGTAGACTTAGATCCCCAATACCTAACCTTTTACGTTTTTTGGGTTCTTATAGTTTTTACTAGTAGGAATCGGGAAGTTTAAGCTTGTATTTCTGTGGCATATCGGGGTAGTAAGTAGAGTGTGCCGTAAATATGCAGTGAGCACAGATTTCTAACAACGAGTCCAGACACCAGCATCCTCATATTTATACAAAGCACACGCGGAGATGCGCAAACATGCATTCACTCGCAGACATGCTTTGCAAATGTGTATCCTGTACCTACATACCCATGCACCACCAAGCTCGGAATGTCTTCAGAATCAGGCCCGCGTGCTAGAGCATTGCTCAGAAGCATCCAACCAAGATCCTAATCGATGAGCCGAAACAAATACCAATAGTGTTCCATAGGCTTCCCTAACATACCTATACCATAAAGGAGCCCAAAACCCTGTTCTAATTATAACGCCCCTACGTTAGTTCCGAGTTCTACTTTAAGGCTCCTGAAGCTTCCAACAACTGGAAGTCCTCACCCAGAGACTCATATACGGGAGTTTCCGAAAATTAGGGTACCTTATTTTGGGGTCCTTATAATAAGGATCCTACTATTTAGGGTACTATATTAGGGGCCCCTGTTTTCGGAAACTCCCATATCACAAAATTACGAAATATTCCTTAATCATATTAGGGATCCTACCATAATGTCAGGTACATTATATTATGTTCTTTGATTAAGGGATATTGGAGTCTCTGGGCACCTCTATACGCCAAACCAGAAAAGCCGACAAGGCCCTACCCGGGGTTTGGGGTTTTAGGGGAGTTTAGGCTTAAGGGTTCTTTTTATGTTGCCGATGGCTACTCTGACTTCTATCCTATCCGTTGCGGCTATGTGCGAAGCCATATGAATCCATGGGCGATTTTCGTGTATGCTGAGTCCTGAGGAGCGGCGGCTTATTATTGGCTAGCTAAGCTATTTCAGGTACATGGACGATGAAGGAAGGTCTAGCCAACAGATCAAGGCTACCCCATATCTAACCTGACCAAAAGTCTTTAAGCTTCAAAAAAAGCCCCAATGTGGAAAGCGTCCCACAAATCTCGCGAAGTATGAAGTATCTTAGGTTCAGGGCTTATGGCTGTTATTTGTCGGCTATCATAGACTCAGAGGCTCCAATATCCCTTACTTTAAGGAACATACCTTAACATCATATTACGGATCCCACTGTGGTTGAAGATCCCTTAAAGGAATCCTAGGTATTCCTTAATTAACCCAAAGGCTCCATGTACCATTATAGTAGATACTTAAGCCTTAAAGGGGTGTCTATGTAGGTACTTTAAGGCATGGAGCCTTGGGGTGAGGGATATTGGAGTCTCTGGGCTTCTTTGTTGTTGGAAGGCCGCGGCTCGTCCGGAGGAGGCGGCGCACCTTTTCGTTACTCTCAGAGGTGCGGTCTTCGCGGTTGCTTCGCAAATTAATGTTTAGTTCAGGGTTTCAGGGTTTAGGGTTTGGGGGTTTAAGCTTAAGGGTTTGGAGGTTTAGGGTAAAATGAAGACTGTGTTAGTCGTACAACCGTCAATCAGAAAAACAGTTCAGGGTGCAAGGGTTTGGGGCTATTACAGCCTTAAATCCTAGCAGGTCAAGTATAACAAACTTGAGATCCTAAGACATAAAGGTCTTAGAGTGTGGGTTCTGCGAACCCTAAACTCTCCCACAACTATATGGGCTCACATCGCAGGAACTTAACTTGCGGCGCTTCCTACAACTTATGGAGCAGAGTTCGTACTACATCGCTACATGGACCGTTCGGGAAGCTGGATACTACTTTATAATCCGACTGAAAAGACGAGATTAACCTAGAGGCTCTGCGATGGGAGGTATAAGCCTAGACACTCCAAATACTCTCTTATATACACCAAACACCCACTATTAAGGGCCATAAGGGCTCTAGTAAAGGGCCCTTGGGGGGTCCTGGACGATCCTACAAGGAGGACTGTCCGTAAACCCTCAACCGTGGTTCGTTGGCCCAACGTTCAGTCTCAAAACCAGAATACCCGAAACCTGCACCCCAGAGTGTAGAGTATTGTTCCGAACAACTAGTAGTCATGCCGGCCTAAAACTTATATGTATATATTATATATACATTCATACATACATACATATGTATGTATATATACTTGTGTGTATACATATGTATATATATATATATATATATATATATATACATATATATATATATATATATATATATTCAGGTTCAAGTTTATGTAGCATATTTTCTCTCCATTCATATTGAAATCCATGTGTTCAGCCTGAGCTTGAAGTCCAAATGTCGCAGCATCCGCGGCTTTTTGGGATTTGGGTTTTCAGGGTTCGGAGGTTACCCATAGTCTCCATTGTAGTTCCTTTGTTGGGTTACCTTATAGGAACCTTAATATATAATTGGTTAAACCAAAAAAGGAACTACTATGGAGACTATAGGTAGGACCTCCAAGGTTTCAGGCCAGGATGTAGGGTTCCTTTTGGGATTCTATATAAGGTTTCTAGAAGGGTTCTATAAGGGTGCCTTTAATGGTTCTATAAGGGCGCCTTAAAGGATTCTATAAGGGTGCCTTTGAGGGTTTCTTCAAGGGTGCCGTTAGGGTTCCTGAGCAGTACATCTTGGCCCTTTTTGTTTCAGGGTCCCCGTATTAGATCCAAACAGTGGGAAAAGGGGTACCCTTATTATAAGAATAAAGGGGCTGGGTTAAGATCGTCTAGGACATAGAGTAGGCCCTCATTCCCTTAGTTAAGGTTCAGCTTACCTTATAAGCCACTTTAAACCAAAAAGGGCACCCTTTTTATTCCCAGGTTACTCTTGGGTCTAGTCGTAAGATGAGAGTAAGGTGCTCCGGCTTCCGGCCGGACCTCAATACTCTTAAGAACTATGTCCCATGTTTGCTTCCGAACTCCCCAAGGCAGGATCGAACATGTTTATTGCTTAAAGCTCCAAGGGCCTTAAGGGCGTATCAAAAATTGCATTTTTGCTTTGGTGGTAAGAGCTCGTCATCCGAAGCTTTCAGAGGGGCCGGCGACTTCAACACCCCTCAATTATTAAGGAATATATTCCTTAATTTCCTTATAGAGGCCATATAGATCCCTGTAAGGACCCATTTAAGGAACCCTTGTGTATATATTCCTTCAATAAGGGATATTGGAGTCCCCCAAACTCTAAACCCTAGAGATCCCATATAGGAACCTTTGTAGACCCCCTCAAAGAAACCCTATAAGCATCTATAGAACCCGTTATAGAGGACTCCCTATAAATCCCTACAGATCCTTGTAAAGGAACCTCTATAAATTCCTCTAGGTCCCTTTAAGGGAACTCATATAGATCCGTTTAAAGGGAAACCCTGGAAGTCGCTGGGGAGGCCGGCGACTTCACGCGGATTCGGTGCTCGTGAACACCGCCATCTCTGCCGCAAGCACCGGGGAGGTCCACAGAGAAATTCGGGTTTAGGGTTTATCGCTTTAGGGGTTAGGGTTTAGGGGCTTGGGGGTTTAGGGTTTACATAGGGGTTTAGAGTTTAAGGGTTTAGGGGTTAGGTTTTAGGGGCTTGGGGGTTTAGGGTTTACATAGGGGTTTAGGGGTTTAGGGGTTAGGTTTTAATTGGGAGTGTAGGGCATCAGTGAAGATGTTGAGGCTAAAAGCCAAACGCCAAACCTCAGCATGGAGGCCTAAACAATTACCTATACTATGTTGGAGGTTCCGTCTAATATATATATATATATATATATATATATATATATAGTGCAATGCCCCAAAACCCTATTCTAACTATTGAAGCCCCTATATTACTTGAAGCCCACCTCGGAAAGTTTACATCTGGGTTCTGGAGTGCCATCCTTGAACACTTTGTTTTGGACATGTTCCTTAAAGGACCCACTATGAACAAAGTCTACGCTTGTTTCTCCATGGTTGCATCAGAGTCCGAGATCCACAGCCCTACATCCTTGAGCTTATAGCGACTCCCTGAAAGTTGGAACATGGATTTAGGAGGACTAGTGCTAGGATCCCCTATGCTTCAACCTTTAAGGCCACGAGGATATTGCTGTTCCATCTTTCTGGCTTCTAGTGAAGAGGAATGAGCATATCTTAGCGGGCACCTTCGGATTTATGGTGTCCAGATTCAGGGGTGGTCAAAATATGGAATGAACATGCACTGGTTTTTAGGGCTCAATCAGTTCCAGATTAAGTTACGAAGTAGGTTTAGGGCTTATGCCTGCCATACTGACTTCCCAAAACCAAAACCTCAATCCGAAAACACTATAAGCACAGACCACAATTTTTAAACGGCAGTCCGCAGACAGACGTCCCCATGTAATGTGCCAAGGCCATCCAGAACCACACCTCAACATTCAGGCCCAAACCCCAATCCCCCACACCTCAAAACCCTATAACCTCCGAGCTATCATGGAGATGTTCCGACCCTTCCGCAGCCACTGAAGACAGCACTTTGGGTGGGTGTCAGGTATACGGCTTAGCGTGTGATGAAGTAGTCACGTGATGGATTGATGGAGAGATCGATATATTCATGGATAGATAAAATAAAAGACAGATAGAGGAGAGATATGCATGCACAAGACCTAAACACATTCGCATTCTTCCTTGACCTGCGTGAGAAGTTAAGAAAAACCAGAGTGCGAACCGGCGCCGTTGGCACGAGAGACTCCGACCGTCTCAGACGGGAAGAAGCTTTTTAAGCAGCATGAACGGCTTCTTGGCTTCCAGAGATACCGACAGCAAGGCTTTTTGGGTTTTGTGTTCAGCTCTGGTTTGTTATGTGTTTTGCGGTCAAGCTTGAAGTTGTACGAGACAATGAACCGTCGTTATAGGATCTTGTATTGTAAAGTGAAAGGTAGATAGCCAAAGAAAGGGTTGTGTTAAAAGGTTGGAGGGGGTACACACATCTACCGTACCATTTCGGGAACCTAGAAAGGGACCTCAGATTTCCTTATGTAGCAATTATTACCCTGAAAAACACCCTCTATCTATCTATATTTATATATATATATATATATACCCCTATAGGTTCCTTTCATGTAAGGATCCCCCCCGCAAAAAAAAGGGGCACCACTTTAGAGAACTACTCATACAAGGAAACCCTGAACCCCTCAAACCCTAAACCCCTAAAGCCCTAAACCCTCAGCCCTAAACCCTTAAACCCTAAAGCAGCCAAGCCCTAAACCCGAAACCCCAAACCCCAAACGCCCTGAACCCTAAACCCTTTGTGACAGCTCCCCACGTTGCGTTGTGTGCAGGTTTGCTGAAGGTGGCTACCCCAACTCAGGTTCCGAGCCGAAACTCCAAGGGTAAAAGAGGGACCCTTAATAAGTATCCCTAGGTATATACCCTTAATATAGCTATCATATATCCATTATATAGCCCATTATAGGCTAAGGGTCCCCATTAAGGGTCCCTCCTTTTCCCCTCTGAGAAACGAGCTTTAGTGTTTGTAAGCTTGAGGGTTGAGGGGTTTGGGGCTTAGGGTTGGGTTCAAGGCTTTGGGTTGGGTTCAGGGTTTTGGGTTGGGTTTAGGCCCTTTGGGTTGAGATCATGGTTTAGGTTTGAGATTTAGCGTTTGGGGCTCAAGATATGTAAACCCTATCCCGTTCTTGACCGCCAGGGTCCCCTAGCGGTTTCAGGATTTAGGACTAGACCGTGAACCCTATCACACCCCTTGATGTCCCTGGTGGCAGGTGCTTATGGGTTTGGGGCGAATTTTTGAAAATGACCCTGCAGAAGATTGGTGTGGAATGCCTGTCTCCGTCGTTAGCTCAACGACAGAAGAGGCAGACGAGGTGCGAGCGGACATGTCAACGGTGTCACTCTGGTCATTCTGGTTAGGATTTACCGCGGGGGCTTTCGTGAAGCCAAGGTTTTTAGGTCCAAGCGAGTAAACCCGACAACGACACAGCTGACACTAAGTACTGAGTCCAGAAACCTTAACCGATGTTGATATCCTTATGACACCTTTGCAACACCCGTATAATCCCGTTTCATATGATGGCTTCTATAGGGCTTTTATACTGGTACTTATATAAGCGCACTATAGGGCTATGTCAGGGTACCATAGGGGATCTCTAATCTATAGAACCCTGAACTCTGTCGACGAGCCCTGGAGAGGTGGACTTGTTCATCAGCCACTCTTGGGCGGCAGGATCTCCTTTGCAAGCCGAAGCCGTGAAGCTCACAAATTGGTTTGGAGTGTTGATACTGTAAGTTAGAAGGGGCCCCCACCCTGTAATAGTGGTATAATAGAAATATAATAGGGCCCTACGTAATATAATCTTTATAGTGACTATTACAGGGTGGGGGCAGCTTCTAACCTGTAAGTTTATAAGGGCTCAAAAGACCACTCATACCGGCCTACCAGGTCGGGGTTTCTGGAATGTACCTGAGAATAGGCCGCCTTACACCCCAAACCTAGCTACTTGTAGGATGCTTATGGCTCTCGGCTAGAAACCTTAAACCGTAATGCTACAAAATCGAGACAACGGACCTGAGAAATCCTATACCGCCTCAAAACAGCACGAAACACAAGCGTAGTCACAATGTAGGGCTTGGGTGCTGGAACTTCACGTTTGGAAACCTGGAGCGCGCAACCTAAACCCTTCCCAAAGGCTCCATGTACCTTCATAGTAGATTAAGCCTTAAACGGGTCCATATATAGGTACTTTAAGGCCTAAGTACTATATGGGCACATGGAGCCTTAGGGCTTGTGCCCTGAAAGGACGCTGGCAGAAGACTTTAGCCGTGTGTTATCATCTGAACTTGAAGTTCGCGACGAAGGCAGTCAGATTTTATTGTATTGTGCCAGGTTGTTGTTCCCCATGTTAAGTACCAAGCTTTAGCTTTCAGCTGATGTGTCAATTGCAGTACCGTTCGAAGCACCATGTAGAGTAAATGAGCCCGAATGAGTACTCACCAGCAGTGTCTGGTTTTGAGAATCGCAGTCTATCTTGGGCTTAGGCGGTTCTGCGACAGTGCACGGAGAGCTTGAGTTGGTGGTTTCCGAAAATAGGGGACCCTAAGATAGTACTCCAAATAGTAAGATCCTTATTTATAAGGACCCCCCAAATAAGGTACCCCCAATTTTCGGAAACTCCCAGTTTGGGGCTTCAGGCATTCCGGGCCAAGGGTGTTCGGGTTTCCTGTGTCGGAGTTCAGGGTTTTTTATGCAGTGTCTATTTCTGCGAGAAGCGCGGGGTTTCTTGCGTGTCTCGTCATGAGCATCGGAGCGCAGCATTACAGGTCCACGGCTGGTATGTCGAGTATTATGTCGTGTATATGTGTATTAATATTAGTATTAATATTTGTATATATATATATATATGTATATATGTATATATATGCATATATATATATATATGTATGTATGTATGCATGCATGTATGTATGTATGTATGTATACATGCACACTGCTGGCTAAAGCAGGGGTTGGGAATTTCAGTATGTATCTCGGCTTATGCTTTGTGTTTGTTGTGGAGCCCACAACCAAAGAGTCCACTCTGATTGATACTCTAAACCCTAGACTGCAGCGACGGACCATCCTGATATACGTAATCCTTGTGTAGAAGGACAGTATGTTGTAGTATTACATACACCCCATTGAACTTAGCAGCTGTCACACTCACAAGTGCAAGACAACATCAACTCTCTTTCTTTATGGTGTCATTAGCTCTACTATCGTTGGAATAACATAGACCGAAACTGTGTTCGACACTCCGATGTAACCCTAAACCCTATACTGTGTTCGACTGTCCGATGTGAGGCGTCAATTCTGGCTTGGGTGATCAATGCGTTGACACTTTTCGTGTTTGCTGGACGTGCGGGTGAACTGGCAGGCGACCCTGCGACGCTTAAGGCTATGCTATGTTACCTAAGGCTCCATGCTCCCATATAACATATACTTAGGCCCTAAAGTACCTATATAGGGACCCTTTAAGGCTTAAGTGCCTACTATACAGGTACATGGAGCCTTTGGGGTATGAAGCTTACCTGAACCCCTCAAAGTAGGTAGACTACTTTGCAATACCTATAAAAGGCCATTATTCTGAACCCTTTGGGGGTCCAGGTGAGAGCTTAGGGATTTGGGTAGCCGGGCGGTTCAGCAAGTCTCAGATGGAGGGCATCTCATTGCGGGATGGTACACCTCACTTAGGGCAGCGGATTACTGGCTAGCATATATCCGTCCAAAGACCGTATGTGGCAAGAAGCCTGGAGCCCGCTGCTGTGATCCTTAGCTTCCGATTAAGCTACAAGTGGTCAAGCTGCAGACATCCAGATGTCGAGGTAGTCAGCGATGAATCCGACGCCGAGCGTAAACCCCAAACACGCCCCGTCCAGTAGGACCCCTATTATGATTTATGGTATTTTCCTTAATTATAGAATCTTGGAAGGTCTGGGTGAGATGTTAGAGCACTACGCATGGA